AAAATAAAAAATCCAGTAGAAGTAGTCAACAAATCAAACTATCGAACGAAACATTCTTTATATATATTCGTCTCACTTTGTACTCACTACTCTCTTTCAACACATCCCAAACCTGAGAAAGGGAGAGATGCTGATTGTTCTTAGTTTCCTCTTCCTCTAGTAAATGACTATTTTATTACCAAGTTCAAACTGATACCTATTACAACATATGATTCCTCACCAGATTTGAGAGAAAGCCATGGACACCATCACACCAAGTCTATAAAAGGAGCATCACACGAATATATAAGGCTTATAAAGAGAGCCAAAAGATCCCTTCAATTATTCCCTTGTTGATCTGCACCCATAAATAAGCCAATCTTTCTAGTTATGTAATATTAATCTACTAACAATTGTCTGTGTCTGAAGACACTATGTAACACAATAAAATCACCAAAATAAAAAATTAAATCCACAAAAATTAACAAACAAATTTTTTTTTTAAAAATCATAGCACCCACAAATACTACCATAGCATCAAATTGACTATCATGTCAATATTTTTAACCCTATTAAATTCTCACATAATAACTCAATATTCATAACAATGAAAATAAAACATTGCACCTTAAATGGAATTACATTACAATGAGAATTAAAAGCCAAATTATGCCAGATTGATAGAATTAGCGCAACTACCACCTCAAATTTTGCCTTGAATTGTGCAGTAATTTTACTCTTGCACTTCGTTTGTCTTAGACTCCATTACTTTTCAGTCTTGGAGGAAAATAAACAACTTGAATCATGGAAATAAGCAATAGATGAGGTAGCAATCTTGGAGGAAAATAAACTTGAATCATGGAAATGAGCAGGTGGCGATAATGAAAGAGAAAATCAACTAAGATAGCCTCTCCTCATGGTCATTCGACCCATCCCTCAATAGCATGAGAGCAGTGCCTTCTACCGCTTAATTGATGCCCCAATAAAAATCCATTGGACAGTGAAAACAAACCATGTCTTCATAAAGATATGAGAGGAGATTCTACCAATCCACTCCTCTATCAGTTCTACTTTCAAACAAAAATTAGGCACCTAATATTAAGGATTTGATGAAATTGTGTGCAGGAAAACCTGCTGTCAACTCACTTACCAAAGTAGGCGTAGACTTTCTCCATTGAGGTAGCACCAACTCAACTAATAAAACACACACACACAAAACTACAAAAGTACAAATATGTGCAAAACAAAACAACTAAGTAGAGAATTTTAGGTTAAGTAAATTGGATAGCCTTGAGAAGAATTAAATGACAAAGACCTCAAAAGAATGAGACATAAAAAAGATCACCTGTTCAATTGCATAAATTCACAATCAATCCGACCCATAAACTCATCATTACGAAATTCACAAACCAAATACACCAAAATTTACAAAACAATAAAAAAATTAGATCAAATCAAAATTTTCAGACACGTGCTTAATTGGTGGCACTCTCCTCACCACATGCTTCAACATCAAAATCAAGTTTAACTATATTTCTACAACAACTTCAAATAGAATCATCAAAAATCAAGTTGAAGTAATTAAGAAAACCTCAATTATACATTGTACAACCTCGCCAAATTGTTAAGAGCAACACATATTGAAGTGCACAATAACCATTATTGTTCGGCTGACATAGAGAAACTCCTTTTCTTTGACAAATTTTCACAACTCAAAGAGAAATCTTTTGTCTTCAGACCAACTATATAGCCCCAATCAGCCGATCCAATAGTCCAAAAGTTGAATGCGTATCACCAAAACATGCCTACATAGGCCATTACATATAAAAAAAATGAGTAAACAGGAAAAGAGCAAGGCACAAAAAGGAGTAAAGATTTTCATGCTCAAACAAACACCTGATTTATAACTCAAAAGATTAAATTCCACAACAAAACACACGCACACACATATACTCAATTTACGACGAATCCCAACTATAAGAGTAAGACAGTCCATCACAAATAGTTGTCAACAACCAATAAACCAACTCAAAAAATCAATTATAATCCAAAATAAGCCAACAACATAGGTTATCTGTAAACACCTGATATGAACATCAACACCTGCAGAAACACCTGCAGAAACACACAATTCTAAGGAAAAACATTTGTGGACGTACATGTATATAAATATCATATGCATGTACATACATAAGTTGTCTATTTATCATTAACACATAAGCCATACAACTAATTAGAGATATTACATATTTTCAATAGAACAAACTGATACTTACTCATATCATTAACAAACTGTTTCTTAATCAACTAATTGTTTCTATACAACTGAATCCACTAAATATAAACCAAAAAAGGAACCTAGAAATACACAACCCTTTTCTAGTGAAAAATCTGGTGCACCTATTATTCATCCTCGAATGCAAGAAGAAACCTGGACATTGTGTAGTATCAAAAGTTCAAAGAAGATTAGGTTTTGTTCCCAACCTGGTAGTAAAAAAAAAACCATAATGCAATAAACGAAATATGTAGAGATAAAACTTACCATAGAGATGTATTCTTAAAATTGAGATTCAACTTGTTTCAAAAAAAAAAAAAAGGTTATCAGATCATATGTACAATATCAAGATCTTGCATAACATAAAATTCCTTAACTTGAAAACAGGAAAGCGCATAGACAATTTTCCAAATAAAATAAAATAGCTCTAATATTCCAAAAAATTAAAATAAACATCAAAACTTAGAATCCAATTGTCATTCCAAACATTTGAAATGCAACGCCTGCAAAAAAAAAAACGAAACCATAAGAGAGCGTAGAGACCCAAAATAATATGCATAAATCAAAGTTGACAAAATCAAAAAAAAAATATCAATGAATCAAACAATCCAACTGGATGGGTGGGTGTGTTGTATGTTAGCAGAGACTGGACATGTATTTATGTGTGCTGTGAGGGATTTTGAGTGTGAGGGGTTGAAGAATAGAAAGATGTTAGGGGGTTTTGGGTGTGAAGAGAGATGCCTTCGTTGTTTTGGTTTTGGGTGTGTGGGGGAACAGAGATAGGGCACACCTTGTCGCTGGTGGATTCATCTATGGTGGATCGTTCGTCATCGATGGTGGCTCACTTCATCGTCGCTGGTTTGGGTATAGAATGAGAAGAGATGGCAAAGAGAGATTTGAGAGGTAGGAGAGAGGAAGAGAATTGGCAGAGAGAAGAAAAATGGTGAGGATTTACTGATTTTTGGGTGATTGTGATGGATCCCATACGAGAGATTTTGGAGATGAGTTTGGAAGACAGGGTTTCGGAGGACAGAGAGAGATGCGTGAGACAGGAAAATTGGGCTTGACCAGAGGCAATAAAGGGATGAGGAAAATATATTTGAGAAAGTTAAAAGGCCTGATAATTAAAAAAATAAACGTTGGTAGGTGGGAATAAAATTCAGTATTCGCCGTAGACCGTCGGATCAATATTTATAAAATGATTTAAACCGTCTTTTATGTTGGGATTACGTTGTCTGTTGGATGACTTAGACTCCTTAATTGTTGAAATATTACACATATACCCTTGAAGTTTGTACAAGTGTATCACATAGACCCTTATCGTTAATGTCCGTTAATATATCCGTTAATAAATTATTTTTAGACTATATAATTTAAAGTATATAATACTTAAACCCCTCAAATTTAAAATAAAATAGCTAGGATTATCATTGAAAGTGTTTTTTGGCTAATGATGCCCATGTTGTTTTAATCTCCAATGGTGGAAGAAATGGTTAGATATAAGACTCTTATATATAACTCATCATATACCTCATAGCATCCAAACAATCCCCAATACAAAATAATAAAAAGGAAGAATTACACTTATACCTCTTAAAGTTTGTCACTTAATCACTTAAGTCCCCTAATATTTAAAATATTATACATAAACCCTTTGAGGTTTGTATACGTGTAACACTTAGACTCTTGTCGTTAATGTCTATTAATATATATGTTAGTAAATTATATCTGCACCCTTTGAACTTTGTAGGAGTATAATACTTAAAACATTCAAGTTTAAAATGTTATAATTAGACCAAAAATACACTAATCAATATAGAATATCAAATATTTTAAATTTTATCACAAATATTCATGTTCTATATCATTTATTGAATTAAAATAAAAAATAAAAAATTAATTTTTTCTTAAAAAATTGTAATCAATATACAATTATACTATTTATCAGATCTAGACGATGCGCACTCCAAATGGACTCAGATAATCCATTGCAAAAATGGAGGTCTCGGTTGTGGAAGACTTGAAGATGTGTTATGTCCCAAAAACTTTGAAAGATATCCCTAAAAAAAATTCAATAAGATTTATGATGGATTTATTTTTCTAAATTTTAGATTTCTATTTTATTAAAACTCCTATATGTATACATATGAAGGCAAATATGTTAAAAAATAAACACAGAAAAAATTAAATTCTAAAAATAAAGACTTAATAACTTAATATTAAGAGTTGTGCATTTTTTGACAATTAAATTTAATTTTGTATACCTCTTACAATTTCCCCTAAACAATATACTAATAGATGTACCCACCGAAAAAATTACACTATTACATGCAATTTTGCTTTGTGCGACAAAGTCTGGCTCCCACAGTGTACATAATGATTGCACAATTATGTGGAATTTTGGTCAGCAAACCATATTATTACAAAGCAACGTGAAATTTTGGTTCACTACACAAAACAATGACACGAGGAAGGCACTCACAATCCCATTGGACCATCGTGCTCATTTTTCCCCTACAAGTAATGACCAATGTAAGCAGCAAGGTACACAATGCTCTCCAGACACGAACAGCCTTCATTATCTACCCAAGTGAGAAAGGTGTATAATGACCACCCAAGGGTGCATCAAAGCGTACAGCAGCATTGACTCCAATCCAACATCCATTCCCCCCCCAACAAAACCAAAAAAAAAAAAAAAAAAGGAAAAAAAATTGTCAGTCTGAAAGTGGAAAAACTATTGTTACTCCTACTCGATGCTCTGAGAGAGCATTGAAGTTGTCTCGAGCATTTTGGCCTCATCCTCATCCATTGAGATCTTACTCCAACCAGGGTTTCTTAGGGAGAAGAACTTGGTCCGATCAAAACCACCTCCTCTGAAGCCTGTTATCTTTGATGAAACCATTGGCATCACAAGAACTGAAGATGCATGGATAGTATCTTCTCCCAAACCCAATGATAATGAACAAGCAGTCTGCATCGCAATCAAATTCTGCATTAAGTTACAACAAAAACACATCTCACCGTCAAAGTAGAATAATTAAAAAAGAATAAAGTGGCCAGTAACAGAACCTTTGCCTTAACAACCATATTGGCAGCCTTCAGCATCATTGCTCGTGCAAGCGATCTCATGTCTTTAATTTGTGAATCTTCAGGTGGCATGACTACCCTGTAACAAGTGCATCAAATATAAGATTTAGAATACAATGCGCTAAACGTGCACATTTTTTATTATTGTATCATTTCCGCAAGAATGATCGAGGTAAAAGCCAGGAAATTCTATTAAAGGGATTGGTATCTCCATTTCTTTAGCAGTTTCAATGTTTTTCTCAGCACAAACTTGGTAAAAGTTTCTTGCTTTATACGTACAGATCACCCATGAATCATCCAAAAGCTAAATTTTGTAGCAAGCAAAAGAATGTATAATACCTTTCCACATCACTTGCAGTTGTCACAGACACTAAAGAGCTATCCTTCACTTCACCTCCTGAATAATAATCAAATTAGTTCTTACTATTATCCTTTGTACATAGTCAAAGTGAGGAAATTTAACCCCCCAACCCCCTCCCCACACCAAAAAAAAAAGGAAAAAGAAAAAAGCAAAGTATACCTCTTGACTCGTCTGGTGCAAGCAAACAAATGCCAATGAATACGGAGATCATTCCTAGTATGAACATTGTTGTCCTTAAAGTATCAAATACCTGCGCAAGTAACAATCTTTAAGTTTACCATATGCGTCTAAAAAGCACCTACTAAGCATATCCAATCATTCAAAAGTTTATTACAATGCTATGGATGCTCCCCACAGATGTTCCTTTGTTGCTTTAGTGGTTTAAAATGATACACAAGGACATTTAAACATTTGATATATTATGCAGACTACCCATTTGTCTATGTAAGAATACCCTTCTGACTTATCTAAGTTTAAAATGATCTCCCTATGTCTTTATCAAAAAAAAAAAAAAAATTGATCTCCCCCTATGCACGGCTATGCCCCTTTACATCTAAGTTTAAAATGATCTCCCGAGAACACAACACAGAAATAAAGTTTGGCCGTGCCTAGGGAGATTAGATGAGTCAGAAGCTCAGACATGAACCCACATCCGAGATCATACCCAAGTCTATGCAAAGTAGGTAGGGACCCAAAACTGGATCATGGACAAAGAATCAAAGAAGCCACAGCGTAGGTTTCTATACCAAACACAAAACCATGTCCGCGCTTCCTTTCAAAGGATGAAACTAGAAATGAAAAAAATCAGTTAACCCATATGGGAGAGACTAACAAAACAAAGTTTGCCATGTGGCAATGTATTGGGCTGGAAGTTGCTCCATGGGGATAAAACTACGGAGTACATGATGTATTCTAATCACAAGTATCCCACCAAAAAAGCTGTAATGCTTTTAAAAAGCAAAAAAGTATGCTGACTCATACTGTCAGGAATATAACTTTATTTGAGTCGGTCCAGTTCAGTTCGAATGCAAAACTGGGCTCACCAGCTTTGCATTTGGAAAATTGTCAACTTATCTAATACATTGACATCAATCTATTGATCTGCACTGGCAATCCAGGTAACGGACAATACTCATTTGCCCACACGCACACACACATATCTATATAATAAAATACATAGAAAGTTAAATTTTATTCCCCATACATTTTTTCCCCAAAACCATCACATCATACATTTCTATTACATGTCCAATCATTTAATAGTTGATTAATTTATAGTTTAACATAATTTTTATTTCAGATATTATCCATACACGATAGTATATTATGTTGAAATTTTTTTATCAAATTACGTGTTTTGAGAAAACTGTTAATATTTTTTAAAAAATAATGGATAAAAATATGATATAATCAAAGAAATGAAGGAACGAAAAATTATTATTTAATTTAGTGAGATCAATTTTTTGGAGCTCGAATTTTATGTTCTGTTGTGAGTTATTAGTATCGTACGATACGTGATACGTATCGTATGATACGTCACGATACACCTGAAAAACAAAACGTATTGTATTTCTGTATCGTTTTTGCACCGTATCGTACGATCTACGATACGATACACCCGATATGTGACAATTCTGTTTTTTTTTTTTTTTTTTTTTTGGGTTGAAATGACATCATTTTACTTTAGGACTTATTTTTAAATCACTAGCTAGTGAAACATCGTTTCAGTGGTTATAGTTTAAAATAAATAAATAAAATCTAATGTTAATGTTGTTCAATTAAATTTAAAATTCCTGATTAATATTAAAGTTGTTTAACTAGTTGATGTTAGAAGTTTAAATTAAATGTCTTTGTATTTTGATATTACTGAACTATGTTGAAAACTTGAATAGTTGTTGGAATATTAATGAAATACTATGTCATTATGAGTCTATGATTTTTTTATAAAGGTATATACATATATTTTATTAATAATTATTTAAAAATTAAAATTGCGCATATCTTACGATCCACGATGCACTATTTTTAAAAAACGATACACCTTCCAATTCATGATTTGACAACTATGGTCGTGCCTTCATGCACGGGTTATGACTAGTATAAAATAAAATAGAGCTGTGTTTAAATTCCAAAACCTATCTTGAATTTTTTTGCGGTTCAAATCAATTTTGAGCAAAATATAAGTTACATCCAAAGGTCTATGTTATCTAAAACTTTATGCGGCTCAGATCAATTAAAAATATTGATTTGACGGATCAGACTAACTGGATAAATTTTTTCCCCCTCAACACACCTTCCATTTTTAATTACCTAAAATCATGCCTTTAAATTTTCCCAATTTCACGCCAACTAACCTCCTCTCACTATTTCTCAAGATGTTCTTTCTAAATTATATCATCTTTCTCTCCCTTCTTTCCTCCCCAGCTCTCCCCCCGTAACCATGTTTTTTTCCCAACTTTTCTCTCTCCCTCTGACTTCCCCCTCTCCCTCTAAATTCCAATAAAGAAAGGAGATCTCCTCTTGTGGTCAAAATCAGATCTCCTTTCCTTCTAAAATTCAAAACATACTGTCATTCTCAATTCAAAACATACGCACAAGCCCTAATCTCCCACACCTCCAATCTCCTCTCTCTCCTTCGATACTAGGAAACATGAATACTCGCCAGGAGGCCGACGGGGTGGTATTGGAGTGTCCGACACGGATACACGTGGAAAATGGTGGGACACGTATCCGATACTTCTATGGCTCGAATATGTCAGAGATACGAGAATGAGAAAAAAAACTTGGATAGAGAGTAGATAAGAAGAGGCAAAGACTTTGGAATTGCTTCAAGCCGAAGGCCTTGGATCTGATTTAGGATTGTTTCAAAAAGATTCAAAGGCTTCAACGAAAATGATCTGTGCTTCGGTGCTTCGAATCTGCTATCTGCTTCAAGCCTCCTTCATCTTCATCTGCTATGGGTGTCACCGGATTTGGTATAAATTGTCGCTAGATTTGCCTGGTTGTCGCCGAATTTGCCCGGTTGTCGCCGAATTTGCCCTTTTCTTTTTCTTCTCTCTCTTAATCGATTTTAACAACCTTTTCCTCCTTTCTTTTTTAATTTTTTTTTTTTTGGTATATTTTATTTATTCCTTTCAAAGAAATTAACCAAAGCGCAATTGACTTTCCTCAAAAAAAAAAAAAAATAGCCCACTTTGGTAGTAGCCCATATCTCAATTTAGTATTAGAACACTGCCCAATTTTATATAATAGCCCATTGCTCAATTGTGAGATATTAACCAACTAATCAATGATGTTATGTCTTATTATTAATGTTATTATTTATATAAAAAATATATAATATTATTTTAATTAATCATATCCTTACTATACTCGTATCCTATATTTTAGAATTTGTCGTATTTCCATGTCCGTATCGTATCAGATATGACACCCGTGTCCGTGCTTTTTAGCTTCGATATCGCTGCTTCTTCCTCTCTCTCTTCTCTGCTGCTCATTCTGCGCGCATAACACAATAGATAACACAACTCTCTACTTCTCTCCCACTTGGTCTCTATCGCTCTGCTTCTCTCTCCCTCTCCTCTGACTGCACATCACTCACCTGGACATCACACACCACACCCACAATTTGTTTGACAAAAATGCCCCTAACTCTATTCCCCTAACTATATGCAGATACTCATCTCACCTATACACACAGAGCATGCACAACACAAAAACGCATGCTTTGTGTGTATAGGTGAGATGAGTGTCTGCATATAATAACGGGCACCTCTTTCATTTCCCATCTCACTCAACCATAAATCACCTGCCAATCCCACAACACGCAGACACATACACACACAAAGAAGACACACATACAACCTCACAAAACACATGCATAAACGGAGACACATAGGCACATGCAGACATGCACAACGCACACAAAACACTCACCACACTGGCTCTGAAGTTCATTTGTGGTTGGTTTTTATTTGAAGAATTTTCAATGTAGATCGAAAATTTTGGTTAATTGGTACATTTTGTGGCTGGTTTGATGTTTTTGGATTTTATCCCTTTTGTTGCAAATCTGAAATTTTGTTTTTTTCTGTCTTTTAAGTTGTTATCAGTTTGATCAATTTTATGGGTTTGATATAGGCAATGGTGTCATGTAGGTACTATTGATAAAACCATTAGCACACCTAATTAGATTTTCAAGGGACCCAATTATATTGTGGTCAAATTGCCATTTGGCTAGCCACACCTAGCATGATTCAAAGACTTAAGAGTTTGTTTGGCTAGACTTGCCGGATTTGATTGCTGAAGTGATTGTGTGTGGGGTTTTGGTTCTTGTAGGTCAAAGGATGTTGGATCTCATACTAAGCTTTATGCCGGCCAAAGTGCAAAAAGGTATTGTTACCTTTCTAATTAATTCAGATGAACAAGGCAATTTTTTGGCATTGTTGGATGTGCAGTGATTCTTTTACATTCCATTTTTATCCTGATTAAGACCAAAAGCTGTGTGTGTTTTAATAGATTACTGCTTTTATAATCCCCTACTGCAGCTCTACTACAGGAAAAAAATATTTTGCGTATCTTCTTTTGGTACTACTTGTTCTTTATTTGTGTGAATATAATTTCAGGTACTGGTCATGGAGTCAAAGTACAGTGGGGTAGGTGGTTACTGACTGTTGCCTTGATTGAATGAACCAAAAGCAGCTAGAAATGGGAAAACTAGAAACAACCCAATCAAGTTACAGAAATCTAATCTTCAGTGGAAATTTTAGATCTAATTGAATTTTTTATTTCATCAAAGCATGTCAATGGGCAAACTATGGAGGAGCCACTCCTAAAATAATAGAAGAAGCACTTATAAGGGATTGATCAGGTGTCCTATATGCATTGGGTGCCTTATGTTTCAAGGCAAACTATAATTGCAGAGAATTTCAAATTTTATATGCTTCTATAACAAGCATCTTTTCTTTTTATTTTTCTTACAGTGTTGTTTCTGTTTGATTCATAAAATGATACAATGTCCATGTGCTCTCTGATGGCACCACTATGGTTTGGGTACTTATTTATTTAATTGATTGAGTGCCATCTAGCAAACACCTTGCTACGATTTTGACCTTGGTACTTATTATTTATTTGAACCAGGCGTTCTAAAGCAGAATTTAGTTGTCCTAAGACTATGAGAAGAAAGGTTGGAAGTTCCGAAATTCAAGTAGTTTTTCAAGATATTTAAACAATAAATCTTTTCAATCGCACATACAATGCTTCGAATTCGAAATTGTTAAAGTATCTCAATTCTTTTGATAAATGTCCTTTATTATGTCATTTTGTGTTCCCAGTTGTGTTAGCTTTTCTTTGAATGCTTCTAAGGAAGTGTTTCACTCTTCTAGCGAATTCAAACGATAATAAATCAATTAAAGATTCAATGTGTTTTTAATATTTTGGTTATTTATTAATGCACATGTACATGTTCTTTTTGTATTGTTGCTATAGATATAATTCTATGGATAGGCTTGGGTTTCTCTCCCAGGTTTCCTCTTCAAAAGAGCTTAGGAGAGTTGAACACAACTCATCACATGCTAATAAAAAGGTAGTATAGAAAATTCAGATTTGATGAGAGCAATTTCATTATATTTTTCAAAGGGTTCAAATGCTAAACTTTTGGAATTCTGCGAATACAATTTTTCTTAATGAAATGCACAAGCAATTGGTAAGTAGATATTAGAAACAAAACAGACTTGGGTTTTAAAACATATAAAGATACATGGGGCTAATCCTAATGATGAATTTGTTTTAATGAAGATTCTACTTGGTGGTTGATGTCGTCGGCAATTTTGGTGGGAAAATGCCAAGGGGAGGCTCCAAAGTACATTGTTCAGCTCTATGGTAGTGTATCTGAAGTACGCTACTTCCTAGACTGATGGGAAGTCGAAGTTTATGTTGGCGAGGAAGCTGTTAAAGGTATATGAGAGTTTCTTCTCTATAAGGCCACCAGATGGTACTATTTTCATAAAAGCGAACTTATATATTCTTAAACAAGAACACCGGAAACATTACTTTAAGTTTGAATCTTTAGATTTTGAGTGGGGATGAACTTTTTAGATAATTAAATTTTTTTAGTAGTGTATACCTTGCATGTTTTATGATATATTAATTTTTCATAAGAACTTTTATATGATGCTGTATCGAAGGGCACTGCGACATCGATATGTATGTGAAGTATGGGTGGTTGGAGATTGTTGAATTAGCTTTTAATTGTTTGGGATTGTTATTAATTTGTGGCATGCTTCTACTTGGTTTTGTTTTGCTAAGAGAGGTGCTTAGGACTATGCCAGTCATGTAAACCCAAACAGGACTCATGTAGTAAACCTATTGGTTGTGGCTCATGTCAACTCAGACATAGTGTTCATTAAATGGGTTACACAGGACGTATTTAGGTTAATTGTAGTGCTAGCAAGTTGTGTTTGTCTCGGTCATTTCACATGATTAACCAAATAGGTCGTGATAGAGCTGTGGGGTTTTTAATACGAACCTAAAATAATGCTATATCTCTTGATTACTAGCCCTACTTCATACACTGCCAATTTTTCCAATGAATTCTCTTTTTGAATGGGCCTTTTTTTTTTTTTGTTACATAGTGCCTTCAGACACAGGCATTATCTAATGTGTGTGTATATATTATATATATAATAAATTAGCTAGTTTGAAAGTTATCTCCCACACATTTCCCCCCTCAAATCCATCCCATCGTCCCTCGTATCCCTACCCTCACTCCTCTGGCAGAAACCAGGACCATGCTGCCCCTATACAACTTACTTTGTCCCTTCTTTCTAATTTTTTTTGGCCTTTTCCAGTCGCTACTCTCTCTCTCTCTCTCTCTCTGTTATGCTTGCCAGCAAGATACGACCACCCCCATGTATCCCTCTTCCCTACCTCTCTCTCTCTCACACACATTCTGAACAAACCCCCCACCAAGCTCTCCCCCTCTCCTCCTCTGCTTCTCCTCTCACATGCACGCACAGACGCAACCCACCTCCTTTTTCCCCCTCTGCGCAATCCACCCCACAAACACACGAACACATGGAAGACTAGACAAATCTGGTTAGTCTTCTCTCCCCTTCTTTTCTTTCTCTTTCACTTCTGTCACGCCCACACACACATCCCTTTCTCTCCCCCTCTTCTCTTCTCTTTCTTTTCTTCTTTATCTTTTCTACAACACATCAAACACACCAACACACAGAGAACACACACACACCCACATCGTACACCCCCACAACATTGCCTGCCCCCACAAGCAAACTCTTAGCACACAAACACACACCTAGCACACAAGCAAACTATCACCACACATACACACACTGTAAATGATGTGTTTGTTGAAATAACTGAGAAAAATATTATCCCAATCTCTAGGTTTCGTTTGGTTTTGGTATTTTGATGTGTTTTGGTTGTGCAATGCTTGGGGGGTTAATGGAAAAAGTCTTGGTTCGATTGGTTGCTGAAAACATGTTTTATTGTACATATAGAATGCTTAATGTTAGATTATTTGGAGCTTTGATGTTAAGATTAGTTTATTTGATATATAACATTATGTTTTTTTATGTGTCGTACATGCATGCATTAGGTGAAAGGAAGGCAGATCGTTCACTTGATCTTATTATATGCATGCACCGCCTATTAACAACTGATTTTTCCTGTGTTTGCTAGGTTCATTGCAATCATGGATTTGAGTGGGTATTGTTCAATATGGTAGTGTTCTGGCGACAAAAATTTCTAGTTTGGGTTACGGCAATAGGAGGATGTGTGTATATATAGACACCTGATGTGCTGAATTTGATATACAACATTGGAATTCAATTGTCAGTCTGTTGGAATTTCATGGTAGTTTTTGATTTTGAGGTGCTATATTGTACTTTGTAAGAAATTTGGCTTTATATTTATAGTTACCGTTACTTAGCTACTTCGTAGTTTTTACTTTTCATGGTCTTTTCGTGGGTTTTGTTTCAATTGTTGCTAAAAGAATTGGGGCTTGCATTTTGTTTCGAATGTTACGGCACGCCATGGGCTTTATTGCTCGCCAATAAGAGTAAACACTTTATTTTTATGTTGTCATAGTATATAGTATGAGTTGAACCATAATTTTATTTGATTGGTGTTAGTTTATGATATCCCGTAATTTAGTATTGATTCGTGTTAGTTTAAGATATCCCATAATTTAGTATATTGATTCGTGTTGGTTTATGATATCCCATAATTAAGTGTGTGATTGTAATGTATTGTTTGATTTATAAGTTGAGATTCTAAATAGAATGTGATTGTAGTCCTTGTTTATTTAATTAGCTAGAGATGGATGTCTAAGCATTATCACATTCAACTTTTGATGACAAATTTTTTTTAAAGGAAATTAAAAGGGGGCTTGGAACATTCTTTGTTGCTAACCTTTGAAAGTATCTACTCTAATTTAAGATACCCAATCAATTGTGCTTTCTTCATTAGATTGGGGAATGGTTCCATTGCAAGTTTTGAATTTGTTTTCCATCATTATATGGGAGAATCTTATAATTTAACCATGACACAATCAGAACTTGAGATTTTTGCTATATATGCATTGAGTTGAACTCCTAACCTTCTTGATTAATGAAGTTTGCACGTCCACATCAAAGTACTGATTCTTTTTTATTTTTGTTCCCTTTGAATATTTGCAAGATTTTATTCTCTCCAATGAACAATGATTATTTGCTCTAATTGTTTTCTAATTCTATGTTTCAAGAATATCTATTGTGTATAATTTTTATCAATTGTTTGGCTAGTGGATATGTTTTACTTATACTTCTATTTCATTGTTTATTGTATTGCATTTGGATTTTTCTTCAAATCTCCATTACTCTCTCTTTCTTGATGCATGTTAAGTGTTCAAGAAAATGTTCGAGAGACCAAAAAAATAGAGGGGTTCTTAGAACTTTAAATTCACTAAAGTAATCGATTTTGTGCCAAAGTTCCCTTTCCCTCCCGCTTTGGTACTGACACCCACACAACACACACACACACACACACATATTTCCGCAAGCACTCACTCAACCCATCCCATAGAGCTACGGAATATCCAAGATTGCCCATATTGGGATAGAATGTTTTGTGCAATAATTATGTCATACGATTGTGTTTATACTTGAAAATGCATATACCTAATGTGAACATTAGAAAAGCTTTGGTTGCTTAGAATATTTGACAAATACTACTCTCTACAATAGTTGTACCTTACTTAGATCTCATTCTTTGTTGATATCTTATTGATTTAGTTTTGATCCACTAGCTTGGTGCTTTTCTATTCAGATTTTTATCTCTTTTCTTTTGGTATATTTGGATTTTGATAAAATTTAGTTTGTTTAGATGTGCTTTGTTGCATTAAAGGGTGAGTTTTGCAGTAATACTTGGTGGTTTTTGGTGCATTTGATTTTGTGTGTAAGCATTATCAGGCATTTGGTGAGTGTGGAAGATGGATATGACATTCAATCCATGATCAATAGCAAGGCTAAGATAAATATGGCTTAAAAGGGCATTCTGGTGGCCCGAATTTTTATATAGTGGATTGATATTTGTTAACATAATACATGTTTGATGAAATGTCTCAATGGGTGGATTGATAATCGTTATGCTAATATTTGTAGGATTCAAATTATTATGCTATATAAGAATTGTGTTGATATTTCAAATTAGATATATAACATCTATAGGTAGGTTGAGATTTTCTTGGGTTCCTATTTTTAGAGTAAATTTTGCACAAATTTTTTGAAAAAAATCATGGTTTACATTGATTTTAATTTCTTTAATTAAAACAAATGAAGGAAAAATTATTTCAAATTGAATGATTTTTTTAAGTTATAAAGTGCCTTTAAGCAGGGGTTATACTAGATAAAATTGCTATGGAGATTCTTATTGTTTACTCAGTTATTGATTGCATAAGTATAGACATTTGAAGTCCCTCTCATAAATTTGTGTTGTGTCTATTAAAGGAGTCGACCCAAACCAAAGTATCAAACAAATCATTTTGGTAGGCAGATGTATTGTATTATAAATTTAGACTCTTATTATTAATAAAACTAACTTTTATATAGAATATTGAAGGTGAAAGCTGCCAATTTTTTGCACAAAATCTTGAAATTGAGGAAAATTATCAAAATCTAATATTGTGACGCTTTTTTTTTTATGCTTCTCCATAATATTGTGAGCTCTCTATGGGATTATAAGCAATAATTTGTGTTGGGTTCTTTTCATTTGAACAGGTAATTGGATTGCCTGAGAAAGTGATGGAGTACTATAGTGTGGATTTGTTGTAACCAATAGTTTATTTATATTTGCTATGTTATTTGAAGGAATTTCAATTGTTTGCTATTCTAATATTAGTATGCATAGTATGTTTTCCTTCTACCCATTAATATCTTTGCTTCTATGTAAATGGATTACAATTACTTTCATGTATTTGTTTGATTTTCCAAGTTGACGAGTTACAATTGTTCCATGAATCTATACAAATGAGGCCACTAATTAATTCTTTCTTTTTCTATTTTTTAATTTGCAATTTTTTTCATTACAGTGCCGGTGTCTTAAGGATGTAATTTAGACTTTCATCTTAGTGCATATATATGTTCAATAGTTATTTTTTTTTTGTGTCCATGATTAATATTTGATTTTTTTGAATTGTAAAGTGCCTTCAAGCACGGGTTATATATATATATATATATATAAAGAGAGAGAGAACCTGATATTCCTGGAAGTAAACAAATCCTGTACAAATGGAGAAAAATGTCCAAGCAATCTGGAACATCGGAACGATAAGGATCGCATCAAACAGAGATAATCCTTCATTCAGCCTTGCCATCTGCCATTGTAAGAAATCAAGAATAAAATCAGAAGTTTGATAAAATTCACCATGATTGTGGCATTGGAAAAGTTGCAACCATTCAAATGGAAAATAAGAATCAGTTTAATTTTTACCCAAAAACCTGCTGTACTAAGAAACAATAGGAGCATAGAGTACGTGAACCAACTATGCAATCGATAGCCACTAGCCATGGACAATCTTAGCAGGTTGGAGCTGCAAAATTGAGAACTGAACGTTAGAGACAACAATAACACCACAATATCAATGCCAGGTATGCCATAACAACTGAAGCAGTTCACTCACAGAGATTTTGCAAAGAGCACTGAGCATGATCCCACAGCACCTGAGACAATAGAATATGAAAAAGGAAGCAGCATATGCCAATAGGGCTTAAGGTCATGTACAGGAACTGCCAGCAGCATTTCTCCCCTCCTGCATTTTCCATACTTTGATTACAACAAGGACTGAGATAGAGGCTTGATTCACCATCAAATTAGAAAGAAAAAAAAAAGGAGATAAGAAAAACAAAATGATGCAGCTATCATGACTGCAAGATCAGTTGGGTCCCACTCTGTAGAGGACAGATGTGATATTCCTTACCTGTATATAGAGTGATGCAGGGCAACCACTAGGACCAAAATCAGACAGTAAAGAAGAAATGTTATGTTGTTGTACTTCTCGGCCAACTGCTCTGGTGTGTACACTGTCAAGAAAAAGGAACCCTTTTACTTTACCAAGCAAGTCTACATGTTTTCTCAAAGAATACTTATACTGCCCTAATGAGCATCACATGGTACATGTAGGTGGGCCATGAAGACATATATTGCCACATTTTTTTTATTTTTTCCATTTGTTTTTTACCCCCCGGGCTGGGGGAAGAGAGCAGAATTTGTTTGGAATGTGGTGGGACAGCAAACACAATGTAAAGAGACCATTTAGGTTTGGAAAGTTGCTAAAGGAGTGATGCCGTGGACATCTGCAATTCTTGTCACTTTTTGGGTTGTATGGAAAGAAAGGAATGCTAGAATTTTTGAAGATCGAAATGAAATGTTTGATGGACTATGGAACCATATGCATTTTGTTGCTTCATATTGTGCTTCAAAGTCCAAGGATTTTAAGGAAATTCTGTTTTTTACTATCTTGACGGGATGGAGAGTTTCATGTGATTTAGAACTTCAATGTTTTTCTTCTCTTTGTACTTTTACTTTTCTTGGTTGGAGTTTTTATTCAACCTATTCCATGTACTATCCATATTTCTGATATATATATATCAGCTATGTCTCCTACTAAAATATGTATATGTATTGGATCCTATGTGAAAGTTATATATATATCAGTTATGTTTCCTACTAAAATATATATATATATATTGGATCCTATGTGAAAGTTATAAACATGACCCTTTCAAACTTTACTATAAAATATACAAAACATGGAACCATGATTTTTCTGAAAAATTATTTTTGTCATTTTTGAGATGCAAAATTACTTTTTTAGACTTTTTTATTCAAGTTTTGCTAATAAATCATTTTTGATGAATAATACATCTAATTCACTCGATCTTTCTTTTGACATAGTTGACCACAAGTAAGATTTCATTAGCTTGAATTTTGAAAAATATTTTTCGCAGATGAAACTACTACCAGTCTTACCAATACCATTCTATAAGAAAAATATGTATTCATAAAAACTAAGAAGCATGAACATTGACATGGACACGAGACATAGTTACGACACGACACATATATGCCGACACGAAATTTTTCAAAAAGGTAGTACACGGACACGTTGAAGATACGTTAAATAATATGTATTTAATATATATAAATATATATAATCATGTGATAAAATAAAAATATTATCATAATAATCTCCCAATTCATCATTTTCCTAATTCTAAAAATTCACATCATGATATCACTACATAAAAGTACAATATAAGATATACTGATACTCATTGAACATTAACATTCATAATTCAACAATCAATGACTACTATAATTTTTATTTTTAAAAATATTTTGCTCGTAACACTAATTTTCATCAATTTTTAAAAAGCCCTAATTTTGTTATCCCATTTTTTCTCACATTACTTTCATTTTCAAAGTTTAATCCATTTGTATATAAGTTCATATTTGTATCTAAAATTATGTTACATTCATGTCCTATGTTCAATGTAATGATATTGTGACTCATTCCTTTAAAATTACAAAAATAACTCTTAATTATAAAATTCTCTGAAAAAGTTCTCAAAAAATTGAAAATAAATCTTAAAACGTGTCCCTAGCGTGTTGGTCGTGTGTTCCCAACATGTCCTAATCGTGTTGGTCATGTGTCCCCAACGTGTCATGAAAAAGTTTTAACAATAAAAAAATTGGACACTCATTTTAATGTGTCCGACACGTGTTCGAGCATGTCAGTGTCCCAGACGTGTTCGACACCGACACTCTGCCCAAAATGAAGTGTCTGTGCTTTCTAGCATAAAAATCTAGTCTTTTTAAGTGTAATGGTCTTGATTGAAGTGTTAGTTACTATTTATAGAAGTCCTTTTAAGACTATGTTTATGCAAAAAAACATAACCTCCAATGTTGATAAATTGATTTGTTTTAAAACGTTTGCAGCATCATACAATATTGTTTTTCAATTTTTCATCATCTAATGATTTTATGTTTTTCAAACCATATAAAAAAAGTAATAGTATCGTTGAACAATTTAAATTATTCACATCTACATGCAATTGCAAGTTTAGCTTGATTTACAAAATAATAAATGCATCGGGGTAGTGTCAAATACGGATTAGTTCGATTTCGACACGACAAACCTGTTTAGCTAGTCTAAGTATAGAGAAAATTTTAGATTTTTTATTTTCAACCTGACATTGTTCGAATCAACGTGTAATTATAGGATTTTTTATTTGATTTCATAAGCATCCAGAAGAGTGCAATTTTATTTTATGAAAGGATGATTTAGTTTATCTAACATGATTTGTGAAACTACATACGCTAGTATTGAATGGTACTGGACACGAAGTCAAGCACGACACAAAACAGCTTGATTGCAACCCTTACTAAGAATTGGTGCAACTCTTTCAGTGTTGCATACCTTTACTTATCTTGTGATAGTGAGTTGGTTTTACATTCATTTTTTTGATAGCATTCCCTAGTACGAGAATGATGCAGAAAAGCAATCAGTTGCCACATTCTTGCTAATATTCTTTCTAACACAATCTACTATTTGCAATGACTAAAATTTATTTTTGTAGACTATCAAACGTTGGGCATGCCTCAAGGTGTATGATTTTGTGGTATCCTATATGCATAGTTTGTGTGAACCACTGGTTCATTTGATCATAAATATACTTGTTAGGACATTGTCCAGTGTATTGCAAGCTAAATTACGCCTGTGAATTCCACAAATGTTTCTCCTAATGTTTCGGTCAACTAAACTGGAAATGTTTCTCATGACATTTACTGGAGTTCCACCAAAAGTCCACAGAAGCTTCCTATATTGAGAGCACCACAATTTGCAAGACCAGTATATAAATTCTTGATGTTATTTAACCAGAAAATGTGTTTCACACATTGATGGTAAGCACAAGTCAAAACATTGAGGATGCTAAACTACATTAGTCTCAGAAAGTAAATATCATACCAGGTGACTGGTGATTACCGAAAGCAACAAGAAAGATGTTTCCAAGAACAATGAAGGCTGTGGCAACGAGTACCCTATAAAAGAAAAATTAGTTAATTTATTGCATTGACTAGGCGATACAATATAGGCTAAATTTCACACGGATCCCCTAACGTTTTATTTAATTATATGGATACCCTCTCCCATTCAATTGTAAATGACACTAAGCCCCCGGATCGTTGGACAACGTTAGTAGTTTTAAAGAAGTAGAATTTACCCTCCATTTGATTACTCTTGATTATACAAATAAACATGGATCTAGATCCCACCCAAACTGAGATCCGTATTCCAAAACAAACCGACCATTCCCCAAATGGGCCAAACTCCCTCCCTTTCCCCCCTCTCTCTCACACATCCCCCACTGCCACCCACTTCTTCCTCCCACACTGCCTCTCTTCACTCTCCACTATTATCATCCAGACCCTCCACAAACATTGTCACCTACCACTACCAATTGTCTATCTCTAAAGTCACCACCCACTACGGAGATCCACCTCGTCCCCCCACCACCAAACATCGTTCCCTCACCACACACCGCTAATCTCTCAACCCATGATCTCGACAAAAAGTCATTCTTCTCCCTGCTCAGTCCTACTTTCCATCCCTGCATAGCCCCACTTCCCCGCACAATCTCGCTCTCCACATATCTCCATCGTTAGTTTTGCAGCTATTGTGACCAATTACAGTGTGGCCAAATTCATCCTAGACATCAGTTTTAGTGATATATTATAAGTGGATCTACGAATATATGTGTGTGTATCTTACTTTCTTTCTTAGGTTTCAATTGATCCCTTTCGGAGAATTCTGGAGAATAAGATGGTCTTCCAGAATAGGCTTTTTATTTGGTAGGTAAAATTGATGAAGCTATTGTGAAGTATATGAACTTAGAAATGGAGAGCAATTTGAAGAAATGATCTTAAATCTTTGTGTACCGACCCCTAATTGAATTGTTTGCGATTCAGAAGTAAAAGAAATCTTTTTATCTACTAATAGTGGCCGAATTGGCGTATTACCAAACTATGCCCCTATTGCAACAGTTGTAGACATAGGTAATAATGAGATTACTATGCATCATCTCTCTGTCTTTCTATCCCTATTTTGGATCAAATTAGAAAACCACGAATTGCAATAGAAAAAAAATCAAAAAATAGGGATGTCATTGATCATTGTGAATGAGTGTGAAGGATTTGGGTATGTGGTTATGTAAGGTTTGTATGCGGTGGTGATGGGCGGTGTTGCAGTGGTGGTGGTAATGATTGATGTAGCCCATAAGATGTTTAAGTAAAGACAAATTCAAAGATACAATAAAGTATGGAATTTGACACATGTTGGATGACTCGGAGCCTACAAAGGAGCTTGCATAAGCATAATTGAGTCTTCTTTTTTGTTAAGTTGAGTTAGTTTGGTAGTATAAATGTTTTTATATGATTTTTTTTTGAGTTGGGGGCATTTTTATAATTTTTAGATTTAGTAGAACTGGTCATAGTCCGCCCAGTGGGTCGCCTTTTGGGTCAAATTCAATAATTGGATGATCTAGAATTTAGAGTCCTAGTTCTATTTTATGTTAGTTTTCTAATTTTAAGTAAATTAGAATTTTCAAAGTATTAGAGACTTTGGAATCCTAATCTTTTAGGATTAGGAATACTTGAAACTCTATATATTATTAGTGATATTTTTAATAAAGCATAGAGAGATATTTTTTAGAAAATTTCAACAATTATATGTTTTTTGAGTTGTGTGATGCAATTCTAACCTTAGGTATGATGCCTAAAGAACCGTAAGAGTGATTCTTGGTCAAATTTACTACTATTCAGTTATTATTCACAACATTGTTACTGTTCATGGGTACAGTTCACAACCCTTCAACATTACCAATTTTGCTTTAGCACAATTGTCCTACATTAATTTTGGTATTAGAGCCACAGAATCCTATGTTTTGCAATTTAAATAGTGACACATGAAGATGAAGATCCCAAATTTTGAAGGAAGATATAATATGAAGATATTCTCTAGTTGGCTTGCTTATGTTGAGGAAGATTTTGTTAGGTATCATTTGTCAGATGGGTAAGATTTGCCAAGATGAAACTAGTAAGCTTGACAAATTTTTGTTGGTTTAGTGTTGAAGGAAATTCGAGAAGATTGAGATTGCCCTCAATCAACACATTGAAGAAGATGAAAGCTAAGCTTCAGAGAAGTATATGCCCTCAAATTATCCAGGCAATTTGTGCAAACAATTTACTAATCTACAACAAGGCAACATGTCGAGTACATGCAAACATTTGAAGAACTATTGTCGCAAAGGTGAATCATAGAAGACATGCGTTGGACAATTGCTCGATTTAAGGCTAGTTTAAGTCTAAAATTACAATGCTAGCCATTATATAGCATGGAGTATGCATTCAAAGAAAGTGGCAATTAGTATAGAGATGTACCTAAATTTCCTTAATCGAGGAAGACATCAAGGGTTTCTTCTTCTAATAGGGCGAAAACTTAAGAGTTCTTTGCATTCTAAAGTGCAGCCAAAGAAGGGTCTTCAAAAGCAATCCAAAGCAACAAGTAATCTGATAATTCTAGGTGGAGAAGATAAAGTAGATCTATCTACACAATCTCAGGGCACTTCACTATCTATTTGTCCTAAGGCTAAGGTAATAAGGGAACATAAAGGCAATATTTGTGTAATTGAACCTAAGAAGACACAAGAAACAAGTAGCAACTGGTAATGGATCTGATTTGCCTTTAGGGATGACTAAGTCACAATTTGATTGTTTCAAAATAGTGCCAAAAGAGTTGCCTAATGAAATTCGTCCCATTGATGAATTTCAATCCTTGTTTTGATGGGAGATGAATTTCAATACTCAACATGGGTATCTCAAGAGCTTGATTTATTTGCATTTTCTAAGAATTTTGAGTGAGACAAGAAATGGGTATTTAGTAATTGTGTAAGAGGGTATGTAATTGGATACTAAATTTGATGCCAAATAATTAATTATTGAAATTGTAATTTTTAGTGATTAATTTTCAAAATCATAATCCATTACATGTAGTGGATGATTAATTTAGTGTAATTGCTCAAAATAATTTTTATGGCAATTAATTATCAAAATTTTCTATTAATGATCTTATTGTAAAAACCATAATGATAACTATCAAAATTATCTAAGAATCATATCATTCATATTCGAAGGCAATTGTTGGAATTATTTCACCATTTTCTGATGTCATCATTTACCATTACTATTTGGCGTTTGTTAGGTTAGAGGATCCGAGTATTACAAGTTTCAAACATCAAGGGGTCTCAATGTCAAGTCAAAAATATGAAAAGGTATCCACGGAAAAAGTAAATTATTAGGGGTCCGTATGAAATTTTCCCAATACTTTGGTAAAAAATAAAAATGAAACATATTAGCAATCTAGACAAAATTGCTCACTTTAGATTATGACCTACTTGATAGATACCGTTTTGTTCAATACGAAATAGGCAAATGCGATGTTGGAAACAAACTGAATAGATCCCAAGGCTGCAAGAAGTGACTACAAAACAACATACAATGAAATACAATTTTCCTTTAAAAGAAGAATGGAAAAGAATGGGAAGAAATGATTCACATATTGCCCAAATGAAACTATATTTTCTGCCACGCAAGAAAGCATGTATGATTAACCAAAATCATAACAGAATAAAATGTGTGGTTCTAATAAGTGACCTTATATATTTGGTGCAAAAAGCCAATAAAATATTATCATACTAACCTGAGCAGCATATCCAAAGGATATGAAATTAAGACAATTTCCAACAGCAAAAAATAGAATACCTGCATACCAAGAAATATCCATTTATGTGACCCTTATGCAGAAAAACAAACAAAACCCATATAGAGAAACAAGCACCATGAGACTAAATTTACCAACTCTCCAACTCTGGAAGTATATTATGGGCTTCATTATAGTTTTTACATTTGTTCCATCACCACCTAGTGAAGAATGTCGTTCTCTCTGCAAATAGTTCAATCACTAATCAAAACTGGCAAAAAAGAGGTGAAAATTCCAAGAAATTTCCTATCAAAATGAATCCCTATGTGGATGACAGCAGATCAAATGAATACTCATACCCTACGAAGCACGAACATTCTCAAGACGGTGACGTATCCTTTGTTGGACACTTGTCAAACACTGACATTGCTCAGACATTTGTCTGATACTTTTTTATTTGTATCCATAATTAAATGATAAAAATTTAATTTCAGATTGGTGTCGTGTCCGACACTTCTTTAGACCATGTCTACTACTAAACAGTAAACACGTATGACATGTAATTAACAAAGCTTAAAAATTTAATTAATAAGTATATTACACTATGAGAGAACATATAATTATTAAGATTAGATATGTTAAAGTTGTATTTAAAATTTAAAAAAGAGGAATTCAAAAAATGAGAACAATCATTCAAATTATATATGTTGGGAAGTTGTTGTCTACAAGAAAAATTAATGATTATTGATTATTTTGATGGTTAAGTCCAAGAATTGATACCAAATGACTAGACATAAAATTTACTCATCATAAAGTAATGAGTTTTTTAATAAATAATATATCATTATCACTAAGATAATTTTATATAGAAAAAGCAATTATTTATAGCGTGTCCCCAACATGGTCGTGTCTTACTTTGGTGAAAAATATTGTGTATACGTATTTGTATCCGTGTCCTATGTCCATGCTTCTTAGCTTATACCACTCATATTTCCTAAATTTGATGATTTGCAAATAATTAAATTTTAGCTTCCTATATAATTATCAACATATAGATTTATAATTTCTGTGGTAAATTCATCACAATTTTTCATTGATGTGGTATTGCCAAGCTTTAACAAGTAGCACTTACTAGGAATGGATGTAGAATCCATGACAAATGTTGGAAGTTCAAGACAATTCATTCTTTGATAGAACTTGTAAAGTAGCACGTTGTCGACAATGTAAAGCTAGTACCTTCATAGTGAATGTGGCTCAAGTCTAGAGGTGGTGCATGGTTGCAATTTTAGTTTGACTTCAAGTTTCCAATTTCAAATTTCAATTTTTTTTCATTTTTAATTTTGGTTTTATTTTCAATTTTGGACATAATAAATATATTGGATAGTCCATTTCTCAACCTAAGATGTTGACAAAGAAGGGATGGGTTCGTTGTTAGGAGGAGTAGGTATTAAGGTCATTTTACTCCTTTCATTATCAGAGTTAAAGTTGCGATTAGTCCACAAACAACATGAGGTTTACATGACAATTTTTGAATGTGAGGGAGGTGATCTACAAAAGGGGTAAAACACAAAGTGGTAAAATTACATTTGTCTTTTTATTTTTATTTGGGTCATTTTGTACTTTGCTTCGATCTTCACTACATGTACACCCTATTAAGGACAATGAACTTGCGAGAAATTAGTGGAAGCTTCAAAACAGGGAAATATGGAGAAAGAAAGATAATGATATATGCTTGTGTGCTATGAAGGCCAAAATCTGCACTAATGCACAAGCTGGCCAGGTTAGTTTAAGTATTTTGATAAACAAGAATAGTTTACGTTGATGCAAGAACAAAAGAAAACCAAGTGTAATTGTTTTGAGATATAGAAGTGGTGTATGATTTACAATCACAGAAACCAACACTGCCCAGTAGATGCAAATGCTTTGTTGAGCTGAGTTGGACAATGTATCTCGCATATTTCCTCATTTTGTTTCAACTGAAATCTCTATCTAGATGCAAGTCTGCAAATCCATGAACCTTGTCACCTTCCCCACCATTCAGATGGTGATGCCAAGGAATATCAGTGAAATGGGAGGCATCACCGCAAATGGCGGCAAATAATTATGACTTTGTAAGATATGCTTGCACATTTGCATTTTTTATCATCCATGATCATGGTGTTATCATTTTCCACCATGGGTCAACTTATAGTAGTTGACTTTGCATGCAAAACAGAAAAATAAGCAAGAGAACAATTCAACAGTTATGGAGAAGTTTTGATGATAATCCTCCTTTTTGTATTAAGACAAGCTGGAAGACATTGTGTGACTTGTAGTATGAATATTTTCCATCTGTTTTCAGGGCCTGTCTTTCCGTTGGACTGCTTGTCCACACTTTTCTTTGGTTATCAATAAAATGGTGTTTCTTATCGAAACATACAGTTACGGAAAAGTATGCAACACGGTGACAAGATCAACCATTGAACCAAACGCAGCAAGAACAAGCTACCAAATAACAAAATGGCAGAGGAAAACAAAATCCTGATGCTTTGGTGCAAGGAAACATTTATCGAGCACAAAGTTCAAGGGAAGGATATGAAGGAGGGGGGGGGGGGACAAGTACCTCATCATGACCCAATTTGAGAAGGTTGGTACCAAAGTTGATGGCAATGCTGCCAAAGAGGTTGATGAAAGCTCCAATAACCCATTCCCCCATGGACTAAAGATTCAAGGAGACACTTAGGTGCTGCTAAATGTGAAGCCGTAAAGTTGAAGTCACTGATTATCACAGACAAAGAGACAAGTTTTCAGGATCCATCACCATGTCTGAAGAGCCCACTTCAGAAGAAAAACAGCATCCAGTAGTGAATTTGTTCTCGATTATTTCCTGCAAACTGCTATGCTAACATCAATATTCATGTTCCTCTATAGAGAGAGAGAGAGAGAGAGAGAAGTTCCATTCGTCATTAAATAAAACCAACAATGGGAACCATGGCAAAGATAAATTGGGTTATTAATGATACGAAGGTAAGATAAAATTAAGGGGGGAAAACAGCTATACAATTATTCACACAGTTTACCAGACGCCAGTGGCTATAGTTTAGAGGTGACTCCCATTCCATAAATAGGTCAAAATACATCAATAATCAGCCCGTAAAGACTACTAAAGGCGAAATAATAATTACCAGGGGGCACCAATTGTAATAGTAATAATAAAAGAAAGTCAAAATATAAATTAACCAGCAAAAACGCATCATTTTGAGGGTTCCTATAAATCCTGGAAAAATCAAACATAAACCAATAGACGTTTACACAGAAGACCAATTTCCAGATTGCAGAAACAAAGCCAAAAACATAATACCGATTTCTTGATCAGCATATCAAATTGGACCAAAATATCAGATTAGTCCAACCCACGCAAAGCATTTTATGCAGGACACCATGTAAACAAGATCACAGCTTTTGGATTGGAAAATTTAAGAAAACAAAAATTAAAACCAATAAAAGAAGAGCCGAGGGATTTTTACCGTTGAAGCGTCGTGTTAGAAGAACCACAAGAAATCCTCAGGGTAGATATATAGCTTGTATAAATGAATTATTTAAAAGGCTGATAGGCCGAATCGGAGCTAGAATTTTGGTTTTATTTCTTACAAGAACCCTAAATTGCCTACACAAATATCGATCGTCCCATAAAGAGCAAAGGGAGAAAGAGAAGAAGGAACAATTGCGGAGTCGAGGGATTGATGAAGGTTAGGCTCGGTGACTGGGTCCGGTCTTGGTCTTGGTGGTTTGGTGCCAAGCCAATTGACAACAAAAGGTGACAGACACCTTTTAGTCTCCGCTTTCGCACTCAACTGTCGGTGGGAGATAGCCATCAACCGAGACCGCAGTTGATGAATGAGTAATGATGATTTCCTCCTCCTTCCTGAATAAATATTTCATCCGTGGTACCATATTATTATTGATAATCGTAGGGTTATTTGTTTATAGATTGATCATTAATTTTTGTGAGGTTTATTTATTTAATTTATTTAATATTATTAATTAATAATATCATATTACATTATTATATAATATTATCTTTGTAATGAATATTTTCTCCTTGCATTTTTATAAGCTTAACATTATGTATAGACTGAAATTGAGATATTCATCAGTAAATTATGCTTAAATTCTTTAAAATTTATAAATAAAACTAATGAGATTTATTAAACAATTAAATTATTTTAATTAAAGATAAAAGATATTTTATTCATTACAGTTTGACCATTTATTTGATTTTTTAATTTTATTTCAATAGATAGTATAATTATATACTAATTATAATTTTTTAAGAAAAAAATTAAATTTTTAATTTTAATTTTATTTCAATAAATGATATAATAGAACATGAATTTTACTTATAAAATTTAAATATTTGATATTCTACCTTTAATTGAAGTATTTTTTTATCTAAATGTAATATTTCAAGCTTGTGAGGTTTAAATGTTATACCTCTATAAACTTCAATAGGTCCAAGTATAATTTACTAACATATATATTAAAAAATATTGATGATAAAAGTGTAAGTGTTACGCGTTCATAAACATCAAAGAATTTGTGTTTAATATTTTAAATGCCAATAAATTTAGGTGATTAAGTGATAAATCTTAGTAAAATTGATGTTCCATTTGGTATGATGAAAAAATAAAAATGTTTGAGAGATAGATAAAATATTATTTTTGATAAGAAAAGAAAATAAAATGATACAAAATTAATTGATGAACTTTCTTTCCAACTCACAAAAATCAACTCCTCCAAAATTGAAAGAAAAGTGGATGAAAAATTAATTATTATTTTTAAAATGTATCTTATTTGTTTATATATCATTTAATTATACATATATTATGTATACATTAATTTTATATATAAGTATAGTGATAAAATATGTATTTATACTTTTTTTTAAAAAATTTAAAATAAAAATTTTTAAAAATAAAAAAAAAATATTTTTTCTATTGCACAAAAAAAAAAATTAATCATTTTTATTTTTTATCTATCCTACTAAACACAAATGAAGAAAAAGTGTACCATTTCTACTATTTTTCTTTGAAAGATAGAAAATATATTCTTCATACTTTCTAACCCTCCTACTTTCCATCATTTCTACCATATGGAACATGAGTATAATTCTCCCTTAATGTTATTACTAGCGACCATTGCTGCAAAGTTTGGAAAAAAGGTGATGATCTTTTGCGAATTTGTTTATTATCACTTGATTTTTGTACTGTGAAACATTACCTATCAGAAGGTTGGCCTAGTATTTTTTATCTTGAAAATTTCGAACGAGTAATTGCATATTTCGATAAATACCATGTTTTGCAATTAGATAAGTTGAGATTCAAAAGACTTAGGAAATGTAGAGAAGACTTCTCATCCACTCTTCATCTTAGTTTAGTTTGCCTATATGACAGTACTGAGGAGGAAAAATATCTTTCAGGAATAGGTCTTCCCTTGTGCCTGAGGGTGTGTACTGCACATGAATTACATAATCGATTCTTAATATATATATTTCCCTCTTCCCCTTTTTTTTTTGGTCGAGAGAGGAATGATAGGGTAACTTTACGAAGCTAATGAGATATTCTTGATTGATGTCATTTTACTTTTTTTTTAGTTAGACGGTTAAAAGTATTCGAACTAACTTATGAGTACTTCAACTAATCCTTTTTCTCTTCTCTTATCTGATAAAAAATAAGTCATTCATGCCAAAACTATAATAATCATGAGAGATAAATCTCTCATAAACTAATTACAAAGAGTTATCAAGATTCAAAATCAAAATGTCTAACTTTAGAGTTCATCTTTGTTACTATTTGAGCTAAGTTAAGGTCAATGACACTCTATTTCACGCATAAGAAAATATTATAGAACTTCCATTAGCCTCCTCAAAATACACCACAATAAATCTAATTTGGAGCCTGCAATCATTTCCGAGGAAAGGGTAACCATGGTAGATAATATGGTTTAGGTGTTCGGTTGCCCCCCATTGCACACAATAGGCTTGTTTCAGACACTAAAGAAAATAGACTACCTAATATTTACTATTGAGGGATTACTTTTTTCTGAAAATGCGCATTCGAGCAGGCGCATTTTGGGATCTCCTGGCTGGTCTGAAATTTCAGGGAATATATGCCGCTTAATGTTTGCCTATACCAACACCCAGATTCGAGTTTTGACTCAAAATTGTCCTGAATTTGAGGTGGAAGCGTTCATCTATTTTTCAAATATTTGATTACCATCTTTTTGCATACGTCAGAATATACTGGAGGCTGGAGCACTAGCTTATGGCTTGCTCGAGTCATCATATGGCAGTTGTAGCAACAGGTGAGAGACATTGCTGCTATTGCCGTCCATTGATCTGAGAGCCTTTCTTTTAACCCAGTCTTTCCTTTTCGGATTGGGCAGGTTCTGAAACCATTGGCAGCCACCTGAATCCAATAAACCCATGTCCAAAGGCACTGTTACTCTTTTATGTCTAAATAGATTCGATTCTTTATTACAAATCCATTAAATCAAACAAAAACCAAAAAAAAAAAAAAGAGGATAAAAATCCATAAACCATACCAATCCCAATGAAGATGGGAAATCATGTCTCTTATGGCTCCCTAGCCCAATGGTTTTTGGGATCATTTTAGTGTCACAGTGAAGAAATTAAAAGCATGGCTCTAGTTTTAGAGCCCTCCATACCCCTATGCTCCGTAAGGGAACATTGTGTTCCGTTCAAAAGAATGGCAATGCATCCGCCATTCAGAATAACAGTGCCAATGTGTAACAATACGCTAACCTAACTAGGCTTCCAGCTTTGCAACCTGCCATACTTATTCAGATGGTTATTGACAGACTCATGAACACTAAAGGTCATCTTAGCGAGGCACGTAACATTAATATACATGGCATATCTAATCAATAAACTCTACAAATCAAACCAACTTAACTAAGCAAGCTATGCCAACGCTGTTTAAGAATCTCATATGCCTTGGCAGAATGAATTGCCTGCAGTCCATTTTTCCCAGCAACATCCTTTCCTGTCACTAGACCCAGCCTTGCCAGTGTATCCATAGCCTTGCCAATGGGCATTTCAACCTACATATTGTTCAACCCAATGACCAAACGCAAAAAGATCTGACTACCAATTAAATTCCTTAATCTCTTACCTTCTCTTTAAACGCATTATACATAAATCTCTCACACTTGTCTCCAACACTTTTGATGCAAGTGACCTGTGTTCTAAACAATTCGAAATGATATAACCAAACACAAATTGCAGGGAAAGGATTGGTAAAAAATGTTACTGACAGTCTTTTGAAAAAGCCGTATGTTTACCCAACAACCCCAAACCAAATTTGGTCAAGCACGACATAGTACACATTCAACGTGAGCAAACAGATGAAGTACATGAAATAGGCAAATTTTCAGTTCTAACTTAAATATGCTATCATGTTGTAAACACAAGATTGGAGCCAGCAGGGGAAACAATACTAGCAGTTTATATGCATTAATTCCAGAAAAAAGGGCCTGCATTACGGGTCAGTAACAGTAGCATATTCCATGCTTGTTCGCTGCAACAAAGCAGATACATCAGGGAAAAGCTTGACTCTATTCCGGACTTTATATAGGAAGAGAGGCTCGGGTATCACTACATAGGCTAATAGGATAGGACACTTTGATAAAGAGATTTTATCTTGACCGACTCACGTGCGAGCCCCACGTGAGGGGAGTGTAAGGAGAACTTAATCATCCAAAATTGGTTTATATGCTTAAGAGGCCTCTCCACTTATTGGCAATTGGTTTTAGGTTTGATGTTCTAACTCATACGATCATCAAGTGCTAGTGTAGAAATAACATGAATTATTATATGAAATCTCACAGAAACACCAGATCGGATCAAATTATATCATAGCCATAGATGGAGGTGTTAGCTATTCAACAAGCAAAGTCTTCCATGGAATTTTGGAATATTGAGCTCATACTCAGACGAAAATAAGTATCCTAAGAGAAACACCAAGTTCTTGTCTTCCTTTATTCCTTGTACATATGTGGAGTTTTTTTTTTTTGGTCAGGATACATATGTGGAGTTCAAATCCCGCAAACTTACAAGTTCAGTGTGATGATTGGGCAACCAAAAAGTCACCACGTTAATTAATTAACCTTATTTTAAAATCCCATGGGAAAATATTGATTGGTAGTACCTAAACGTAACTTGAATCTCTATTTCGTTTATTTTTTGTTGTTAAGAAAAAAAGGAAGAAAAAAGAAGACAACTTGACCAACATTTTCATGAGATTTGAGCATACAAGTCAAACTAAGGAACTAATTGTGGATACCATAAACCCATCACTTCTTAAATGCTTGATTTCTCCCAATTGAGTTTTTCTCCATTTAATATTTGCATGTAACTGTGCAAGTATTCCTAGTGCTTTACTGTCCTATTATGTGGCTTTCCTGTTATATTCTACTTAATACTGTAATAGTCTTCAATATCAAGCTGATATAAAAAAGTGATAGGGTGTAGGCAATATACATCCTACACACAAAACTGTTTCATAATCTATAACTTCCTCTTTTTTTTTTTCCATTCCTTAAAACCTAATACTCAATTATTCAAGTTTTAAATTAGCAGCAGAGCAAGATATTTGGGTGAGTGGGTCCCTAGGCAAGTGCAGCTTCAACCCGGTTTAGTGTTGGTTCAGTAATTTCTAAATACGATGTTGGTTTAGTGGTTTTCATTTTGATTTAGTGCTTTTAGCCTGGTTTAGTGTCAATTTAGTGTTTTTAGTCCGGTTTAATGTTGGTTAAGTGTTTTTTAACCCAATTTGGTGCTCATTTAGTGATTTTTATCTTGATTTACCGCCGATTCAGTGTTCTCAGCTCGGTCTAGTGCTGGGTCAGTGATTTTGGGCCAATTTGGTGCTGCTACGAGTGATAATCAAGGCGAGCCTTCACAGCTATGACATACTCAGGCTCAGCTCAGATTGGTGAATGGTTGTTCAAGCACAGCTCGAGCTAGATCACCGAGCCCAAATAATTGTTCAACCTCGGCTCAACACAAGCTCAGTCAGAGCTCCAGCAAAAAACGAGCTCAAGGAAAAAACCCATTTTTTCCCAAAAAGTAAGAAAGTAAGAAAAAAAATCCCAAATTCATAATCAACAAATCATAAATCCAAATCAACACAACCCAAATATACACGTTTCACAAAATATTCATGCAAATCGAAATCTTGGTAACCTTTGTTATGCCTTTTATAAAGCTGGGAGTGAATAGATTTAGTCCCAGATCTGCCATAAACTCGCACTAGCATCATTCATTGTTGAAGCCAAGAACCCTTGTTGTTCTGTCTCTAAATTGACACCTCAAATATACAAAAACATGGAGGCTTGAACATTGAACCATGGATACAAAATTAAAAGGAAAGAGAGAAAAATGAGAAAGAGAGAGAGAGAGAGAAACACAGTGGTCTACGTGCTCAGAGGTTAATAGGAAGAAAGCAAGAAAACAAATAAAAAGAAAAGGGAGAACTTCATTCATAGAGAGAGAGAGAGAGAGAGAAAGACTGTGTGGGGGAAAAAAAAGAGAGTAAGTCACATATGAGAGAGAAGAGGTCTGCATAGGAAATTGAAAAAACAATAAATGAGAGGTAGTTTTACAACCTTCCATTAACGGTGGACACTGAACATGATAAGGTATGGTGGTAAAATTTTTAAGAAAACATAAATTGTGTATAATTTATGTAGGAATGCATAACTTGTACGAGCCTTCGAGCTTAGCTCGTTTAAAATCCTTTTCCTAACAATAAATACATGAATCTTGTTTTGGCAATCTGCTGTCTCCGGCCACAAACTCTTATAGATTACAAGCTACCGTACCTTTATTTAGTTTCTTAATACTTGTTAGTTTTTGTCTTTCCCTACCACTGGCATTACTGTCGATATGAGCTGTATTACTTTCCGTCTCTGGTACATTTACTAGTCTTGCTGCACATACCAAAGCCATCTCAATCTTCTTTCTCTAAGTTTTTCTCCAATTCATTCTACTTCTGAATACGTTCATTTTAATTTTAACCTTTTCGGTTGTACGAAACATCCATCTTAGTGGCCACACTCTGTCCGTGCTTTTCCTTTTCTTTTAAACAATTGGTCAAGATTGCTGATCACAAACTGTTATCATGCTGTGGAGGTAGACTCTCAATCCGGCATGTAAGTTTAGTGAGTCAACCTTGCTGGGCTTTGCTTACCAAGTATTTTTTCAATAAGACCCAAAATTTTATTGATAATCAAGAGATCATTACAATAAAACCAAAACAAGTGTGGGCAAGCAGTCCACAACAAAAACAGACAAAGAAAACATAAAACAATGAACAACTACAAGCCACACGATGCCTTCCAGTTTGGCTTAATACAAAAGAGAGGGCTATCTTCAAAATCCTCAGAAATTGAGGCCCAAAAAGATGCCAAAAAATAAATTCTATCCCACAACTCCTCAAGCTCTTCACTCTTATCCTAAAATATCCTCCCATTCATTTCCTTCTAAATCACCCAAACTGTAGCAAAGAGAGGACTATTCCAAACAATCTTCCATCTACTATTCCCTTCAAATCCCACATTGTCTGTGCAAAACATAGAGACCATAGTCCTTAGAGCAACCCAAGAAAAGCCCACAAGATCAAAAAGCTTGTTCCAAAGCATTCGTGCCAAAGTGCAATGCGAAAAAAGGTGATCAACATTCTCATTTTCACATCTACACACAACACACCATTGTGGTTAAGGGCAATGATTTGGTCTCCTCTTTTGAAGAACCTCATTAGTACTAATTTTCGCATGAGAAATTATCCATGCACAAACTTGCACCTATAGAGACACCTTCACCTTCCAAATCTTGAAAGATGGCTCGAAAAAATAAATTAGAGGATTATCAATTAAAGACTCAAAAAAGAATTTGTAAGAAAAAGCCCCGGTGGAGCTATCAATCCACACCTCCTATCCTTAAAGTTTTGAATCAAAGAAACACAATTAAGCATAGAAAGAAGAATCACCAACTCTGAACATATTTTTTCATTGAAATTCCTGCGAAACCCAAAATCCAATGAAATCGGATTTGAATATGAATGAACCATAGATGCAGTCAATCGACTTTGATAACAGGAGACACGAAACAATCGTGAAAAATAAGTAGAGAAAAAATATCTCCAAACCTATATGTTCTTCCAAAAGTGCACTCTAGTTCAATTACCCACAATAAACTTGACACTCTGAAAAAAACAAGGGAAACCATGAAAAATGAACTTCCACAGACTCTCCTAATAACGGCATGCCACAATGAATTTTGCTCTAATGGGAAACTCTAGAACCATTTTCCAACCAATGCAACATTCTTATTCACCAAATTTCTAATTAAAAGTCCTCCCTTATCTTTTGGTCTAGTTACCACCTCTCAACGAATCAATGATCTTTTTGACCTTCTCCTATTCATTCCCTAAAAAAAATCCCTCATTAAACCTTTAATTTTTCTAGCCACAACTCTAGGCATTCTAAAAAGAGACAAATTATACGGGAATACTCGACAAAACTGACTAAATCAAAGTTAATCTATCCCCATAGAAATAAAAGACTTATTCCATCCATCTAACCTCCTTCCAATTTTCTCAGCAACAAGATCCCAAAAAGTACTTGACATCGGATTACCTTTAAAGGGAGCCCTAAGTATTGTAGTGTTTACTCACCCACCAAACACTCCAACACTATAGCCATTCTAGTAACCTTTTCCTCTCTAGAATTAATACCCACAATAATGCCCTTTTCCATATTAACTTTAAGCCCAAAAATCATACCAAACACATCAACAATCAACTTTACAATACTTAATTTCTGCTCATCCCTAAAAAAAATAATATACTATCATCTGTAAATTACAAATGAGATACTTTAATCCTTTCCCTCCAAATAACAAATCCCTCAACCAACTTATGTCATTCTGTCCTTTCCATCATCTTGCTCAACCCATCCACCACCAAAGTGAACAAAAAAGGTGGTAAATGATCCCCTTATCTAAGTCTCCTATATGCCTTAAATCTATCGCTCAGCTTTCCATTCATTATAATTGAAAATTTTACCGTCTTCAAACAATCACTAATGCACTCTCTCTATGACTCCACCTCACTCTGAATCTTTTTGCTTCCATCACAAAATTCAAAAAACTCCAATTCACATGATCATAAGCTTTATCAAAAGCAATTTTAAACATAAAACTTTCCTGCCCTTTAGCACTATATTTCTCGACAACCTCATTTGCTACAAGTGCCACATCCATAATTTGTCTTTCCCTCACAAAAAAACCCTAAGCTTTATAGAAAGCATTTTTGCAATAATCTTGTACAGGCTTGTAACCAAACTAATAGGCTTAAACAGTGTTGTGAAAAGCGAGCCTTGGTCGCCTTGAACATTCAAGGCGAAGCGAGGTTAAGTAAAGCGAGAAAAAAGTGAGCTTAGGCGACGAAGCGAGCCAGACGAGAAAAGCGAACGCCTGACTGCAATTTTTTTATTTTCTCCTCCTCCTCCCCCCTCCCCCTCCCCATCCCCATCCCCATCCCCATCCTTCTTTAACATTAACCAAACCCTAGCAGAGATGATGTTATATGTGTGTATGTATAAAATACATTGATTAATTCATGTAACAGTATCATATGACAATATGTTTTATTATGATTAGATAATTTTGAATGCCTTCTTTTGATGTGACTGCTCTTGTTAATCAATTTGCTTGGTTAATCAATTTGCTTGGTTAATCAAATTGATTAATCTATTTATTATATGCTCTATTAATTTGATTAATCAATTTGTGAGTGCTATGTTTAGTGGTGCTATTAATCAATCACGGTAAAAATCAAACCCACATTTGTTAACTTTACATTTAGATAACGTAATTATGTCAATTGATTATTTTTAGAATACAATAATGTTCAATATTTAATATCTTGTCTATTTATTATTTTGATTACATTTAAATATTTTATATTTGTAAAATTAAAACTTGAATATTTAGGAGTAATCAAAATAAGAAACTAAAATATTTGCTTATTTTTTATATTGTTCGCTTTGCTTCAATGAAGTGCTCGCTTCGCTTCTCGCCTAGGCTTTCAGGAGACTGGTTCGCTTCAATTTGCTTTACGCCTTAAATAACTCTGGGCTTAAAATCCTTCAATTTTAGAGAATGCACTTTTTTCAGGATGAGACATAAATATAGCATTTGTAACTCCATTGATAACACCTTGATGAAAAATCTCCTCAAACACTATCATCAAATCATCCCAACATACCTGATAAATGGCCTAAGTAAACCCATCCAGACTGGGAGCCTTTGCTTGCCAAGTATAAACATACATATTATCAAGGAAACAACAAATCTCCCACCATTGAGGCAAAGCATGTCACTAGGTCCATACCAAAATCCGTTTTGAGCAGTCAAGATATATATGTATGCTAGCTTATTGATCATAACTCTTCTAGAATGAGTTGAGAAATAATAGGTTACCAGTTGAGTGTGCAGGCATACATGTTTGTGCGAGTCTCTCAATATAGACAAAATAAATGAAAAAAATTTTGGAGTCTCTATCCCCGTTTGAGTGGAAAATTCAACTTGGGACGAAACCAATAATCGTGTTGAAAGAAATCTACAAATTAAATAACTAGAAGAACAACATGATGCCTAAGAAGCATATATCAAATAATTAATCCCAATATGTAACCATGAGTCCCAGGCACATTGAACTGTCTTAATGTATCCGAAATGAAGATATTTACAAAGCTGAGAAGAGAAAGGTGAACCTGGCCATCCTCCGCTTTGAGTAAGATTGCATATGCCAAGATGGCTTCCTTGTACTACATAATGTTAGAAGGTTCCAAAAAAGGGAAAAGAGATTATTAGACTTTCTCCCAATTGCTACTTTTCCAATCAAATACCTGATGTCCAACTATCAAAAAGAAAGAGATAAAATAGAAGAGTCTCACTTGTTGTTGTTCAGAAGCATCCAAAAGAAAGTGAACTGAACCAAAGCCACTAGCTACAGTTTTCTCGTAAAGAGTTTTGTTGACCAGTAGCTAAATGAAAACCAAAAAAAAAACTTTGAATAGGTGAGCATGTTCTCTCCAAAATACGTATCCAATAGACAACGAACTAGCTGAACTCACTTGATACCTATCCCTTGTCTGTTTGTAACCCAAAGCCACACGAGTGATGAATATTATAAGAGCACTGACTCCAATTACATCTAACAGTATTGCCGATCTGTACAAATTGAATTTTGCAATCAACTTCTTCACTAATGTATGAAACAAGATGCAGAGGATGCTTTGAAGTGCTATTGACAGTGAAAGAGAACCACAAAAAAAAAAAAAAAGGAAAGGCCATAATTTTTTAGCAAATGACACACTTTGGCACTACTAATAAATAACCTAGAAGAACACACACGACGGGAGACTATTTCATTTAACAGTCTTTTTTTTTTTAAAGAAGGAAGAGAAACAGAAAACATACAGTCATTTAATGTTCTTTGAACAAGAATGGAAAAAATTCGTCTATTAAAAAATATCCTCTAGAGAGAAGAAACTAAAGGTGTCACTTTTTCAGTTTTTTCCCTGAATATGATAGGTGCAATGTGGTTGACTGGTTGTTAATTTTTGTAAACTTTTTGCATGTTAACTCTTAGCTGAAATCTATTGCATCCAAGGGAAGAGACCTGCTAACTTGATCCAAAACCTAATAACAAAATCATAAGGGTTTTGGACCAATATGAAGGCTTTCTAGACCCCATAATGTTCAACCGATAGAGAAAAATAAAAAGGAAAACATAAATGAAACAAATTGATCACAAAGACAGAAATATAGTAGCTTCCTTTATATACACATTATCTTGACAAATACTCTTTAACTTATTGGTCTTTAAGGAATCAATATGATGTGGTAGTTTAGACAAATATCTTCAGCTCTAGAAAAAATTCAGATGTTTTTCTGATGATTCAGTTACCAAAAAATTCATGACAAATGCCAGAGACAAGCGGCTCTGCTGTTAAGGGAGCTTCAACCCTAGTAAAGCTAATGCAAAACAAGAACTTAACTTGAATGTTCAAGTAAAGACATTTACGCCCCATCCCTCTTTCCCCGTGCAAGAAGAACTGAACAAAACAATGAATCCAAGAGTCTATGGTAAATTTTATGTTCCAAAATAGAAAGAGATACATCTCTCTTCTACTCTCTTATTCTTCAAAACCCTAACAATTCAACTATCCTCAAAGTTCACACATTGAACCAATCTAATCCCTAGCTTTCACTGCCATTCAAATTATTAACGGAAAATGTCACGAGTTCGGCATACGAAAATATTAAAGGGCATTTCTGTCACTACCTAACACTCCTTTAGTGAAACACAACTCCTAATTTGAACAACAATGCACATGGATTAACACACTCCTCCTTCCTCTCTTTTTTTTTATTTTTCTCCATTTTTTTCTTAAAATTTTATTTTCTACAAAAATCACAAAAAATACAATATCTTATGTTCTCTCTTTTTCAACATAGAACACAAATTTGCACTCTCTATGCCTCTCTCTCCCTATCTCAAAACATTACACTTCCCCACTATCTCTCCCTTTACGCAGTCTTTCTTTCTCCCATTCAATTTTCTTTTTCTGCACCTAGCAAACCACCAACACGCACAGTGGAAACGCCCACAACCAACAGTAGAACTCGCCCCAAGCCACCCCACCACCAGGTCCATTCCCATTCTTCTCCCCCAACGTCCATCTAGAAATTTCAAACTTTTCTCCGCAATCTAACAATTTAAAATTGTGAGCATAAACCACAAGTTAGTAACAAAAAATGAGAGAAATGGGGGTCGACTTGGTTCATTGTTCATGGTTGATATTGTTCACTTGTGGTTATGGGTGGTTGTGCTCATAAGCTCACTTGAGGCATAGATTGTGTTCGGATTAGGACTAGGGTTAGGGTTATGTGTATGAGGCACTGCGAGGGAGGGGGGGGGGAGAGAGAGAGAGTATGTGTGTGTGAGAGTCGTTAATGGATAGTAATGGTGAAGTTTACACAGAGAGAGAGAGATATGGGGGATGGGTTTTTGGAAAGGAAGGTTCTCTAAGGAGGGTGGTCACCGACGTTCTAGAAGGGAGGCGGAGGTATGGTGGTTGGCGAAGTGCTTGGGTACTGGGCCTGTCTGGTTTTTTCTTTTTCCTTTTTTTTTTTCCTTTTCCATTATTGCTGTGTATTTTAAAAGTATAATGTCATGAATGTCCCTTAATATTCTTATGCGCTAAACACGTGACATTTTCTGTCAATAATTTGAACCACAGTTAGTGCTAGGGATCAAATGAGTCTAATATGTGAATTTTAATGATCAAATTGATGAAATTGTAACTTTAAGGACTAAATTGTTACAAGCGATATATCTTAAGGACAATTGGTGCAATTTGCATGTATAAGAAATGCATAAAAAAAATCAGAAGAATTGACAAGTCACAACCAATAAGTGTGGATGCCACCATCTAGGTTTGATTCCGAATCAATTTAGAAATTTCCAACTAAACAATTTTCATTAAGCTACCAAGAGCACTTACCCGCAGTTAGTGAGATAAGTAATTAAACAATTGAGCAAATTGAAAAATTGAAGAAAGCAACTTAAAAAAAAAAAAAAGACTCTCCTAATAGAGCATCAATGGGAATTTTCTGTTTGCTTTATTTATAGTCTCCAAGTGTTGGAGAAGCTGTTTTTCACTTTTGCAGCCTTATTATGATGTACTTGGCACATTGCAAAAATCAGTAAAAGTCACTACTATCAAGGGCCCAGATTAAATCCTGAAAAGAAAGCAAAGGAAAACAAAAAACGTGTGTTTCATACGATTAGTGCGCCTCAACCTTGCTTCGTCAAAGTCGCCTCACCTCAGCCCCTGTGAGGCGTGGCAGATGTGTGTCAGCTTGCCTCGTGCCCAGGCATGCATCATGGACTCAAAAAGAAATAAGAGTACAGACAAAATAAAGGACAAAAGAAAAATAAACGTCCAGATGACTGAATACTATGGTTTCTACCAATGGGAAATCAATATTTTTTGCATAATAGAAGGTACGTAAAATTATCATCATCGGAATAACTTATAAGTTGACATCTCTCTGTAGAATATCAATTAAGCATGTAAGCGGAACATGAGCAAAACTCCAGGTTTATATTGCTTAGGTAGTGTATAGAATATAAGCACGCATAGGCATTCAGTTACATGAGAATTGCAAAATAGAGCTTCTTATATTTAATTTAGTTCCATTATGATCATAAAAAATACATGAGCAACATATAATTTTGGGTATTACTCCATACTTACGGTGAAGATAATATGTCCTCAAATTTGTAGTTTATGAAGTATGCCAAAAGTCCCAATATCGTAGAGACGTCCAAGCGGACCTACAAATGAAGGTTACAATATCTGATCAAGATGAGTAGATCTCAGCATCAGCATCCTCTTGTTCAACATATTACAGAAGCCCACTGCAAACTACAAAAATTGCATGTTAAAATTTTTAAAATTGAGAACTTTCAATGCACTGGCTAAACCAAGAATCAGTTTAAGTCCTTGATCAAAGGCCCACCCATTGCCACACAGTGACACTCTAAAATGAGGTCCACTTAGAGATTACCATTGATGGAATGGGACAACATGTAATGTTTTATGTAATAATGGAATGCTTCGGCATGGACAAATCATAATGTATACTCTATAGCTACCAAGGACACTTGCCATTGAACCAAAAAATTGGATGTCTTCTCTTAGAAAGCACGGCAACGGATACAGGTATGATACGTACGAATACAATGAGAGATACGAAGTTCACAACAAAATACATTTTGTTCTTCTATGATTTCATAATAATAATAATTTTTAGTTTACTATTTAATCACAATATGAAAAACCAGTAATCTTTACTTTCAAAGAAGCATAGATTGTCTTATAATTATGGAATACTTACAAAGTGAAAATGACTAATTAAAATACAGGACTAGCAATTAACTAACTGGTTTGCATACTTGTTGCCAAAAGAATTAACCCATTCTATGTTCTTTCGACATGGATTAGTAGATAACACTTGAGAAAAACCGACGTGTCCTCCTTCATATTCTAAGTGTATTCTTGCAGACACATATCCTAGAATTAATATCAAGAATACATAAATATTTTACTAATTATTGGATGCTTCTAGTGGGCATCCGATACGAATTCTCGAGTATGCAATGAGTACCGAATTTGATACGATATCTGATATAGATACTTTAAACTAAATAGAGTATTCATGCTTCATAGGTCTGCTCTAAACAAATACTTGCAACCACACAGTAGAGTATATCTCTAAAGGAGTGGACTTCTCATGGGGGCTTCTCAGGAATTAACCAAGAATTGTGAACCAAATTTGCAGAGAGGCAGCCAAAAACTTTTACAGCCCCTAGTTGAATTGTATTGTCGATACAGTAAATATTAGTCTAGTTGAGGATTTTTGTTAATCTTCACCATTCACAATTGTAAAATGAAACACAAAATAGGTATACTAGATCTTTTTTAATAAGTCCTTAACCATTTTTTTTGGTAAATAATAAATTTCATTGTTAAAAAGAATACACAAAAACCATAACAGTGCTACAATCCACACAACAAGCTCAAATCAAGCATTCAAACTCTTTTATCACCGAAATCCACAAGGACGTCCCATAAGATTTCATCAAGTTACTTCTACCCTCAAATATTCTCACATTTCCCTTGAATCAAAACACCCACAATTCCAAAGGATAGAAACTTTAATATCATTTTCAAACTAAGGTTGGTTTAAATTGTTGAAGGACTTTCACTGATTTCTAATTGATTTTTGATGGGATGCACTAACAAGGTATCAGAGCCAGATCTTGGGTGGTCATGCTCTTACCCATTTGAATTTGTCGGTGTGCATCTATGCTTGTTTGTTTGATAGCCCACAAGTGAGCCCAAGTCCCACATGAGAGAATGTGTAAAGAGACTACTTACCTCATCTTGGAATATTATGATCACCTGTGTTGGTTTATATTGTTAAGGGGCCTCTCCATCCACAGCTAATTGATTTGTGGTTAGATGCTCAGACAAAATATTCTTGGTGTCTTTTGGTTAGGAAAGGATGGCCACATCAGAAAGACAAGGAAAGAAAAAAAGAAGGAAAAAGGCATATGCATCCACTATTTTTTTTTGTGGTTTTTGTTTTTTCCCAGATATGTTCACTGCATAGAACTTGAAATACACACACACACACACACACACACACACACTGTAACCCTTCAAGATAAGGGAGGTAAACTTTTTTCCTAAGAAAATGAGAACTTCCACATTTAAATAGCAAACTAATTTGAGATAACATGAGGATCATAGTTCTTTTAAGATGTAACATTGTGATTGAGATTACACATTGCACATCTTTATTAGAGAGCCTCTCAAACATATACTGAAGATGAGCATAATTTCTACATACCGTGTCTAGAATACGAAAAGACAATTTCTTGTGAGGAAAAATAACCTACAACAAGAGACAAACTATGATTTCATTTGCATATACTAAAAATTATTGTAATTTAACATTAAAGAAGCACAGCATTTAACCATATGCATTGCAGCGTAGAATATTTACTGGTAAATCAGGTATAGGAATTTTCTCATAAATCTTCAACTGCAATGAAGGAACCACAGCTCTATCTTCTCTATCTTCTGCTGCTTCTTCACCCCGTTCCTCAGTATACAGCAAAATTAATTCTTGGAATGCTGGCTCCTAAAGAACACAATTCTACTTACTATATTGAGAATAGATGCTTTTTAAAATAAAATCTAATACTTGAATCACATTCCCATGATGCATAAAAGACTTTAATCTATTTAAAATCACACACGCACACATGCACAAAAGAAATGAATATACGAAAATGAAGACGAGAGTTCCTGGCAGCTTGATTTGCTTAATCAGAAGTCAATCAAGTTGATGCGTTTTTTTATTTTATTTATTACATTTTCCTTGTAGAAGCCAGAGCTTATATTTGTGTTCCATATTGCCTTATACCTAACTAAATCAACTCAGAGAAAGTGAAAACATATTTTTCTGGTGTACAAAGTCAAAAGGTTAGCAACTTGAATAACATAATATCAAGGATCAAAATTTTGTTTTGGTGTATTGTTTCGGTTATCTAGGAAACAAAAATATTTCGATGTGCTTTGAAAATGTTTTGACCAATTTCAAAAATAAAATAAAAAAATAAAAATTTAAGAATTATTTTTTCAAAATATTGGTCGAAATATACTAAAATATCTTGAAATATTTGAAAACAATTTGAAATAATTGAACAAATACATTGAAATATAACAACATTTCAAAATATTATGGAACACCTTAAAATATTAGAATTTCGATTCTATCATTGATTTGTTTCGGTCTTCTTAGAAATGAAAATATTTCGGACGTTTTGACCGTTTCGAAACTATATTTTGATCCTTGCCTAATATATAGAGAAGTTTCCTTGTAGTTTTCATTTTTGTGAGCTAGGTGTTAATAAAACAAAAAGGCTCGGTTTCTAGGTCAAGACTAAGGCGATCTCTCTCTCCTGCTGTTCTAGTTTGCTGCTCTTGTTAGTTGAGTTCTGTCTCGGAAGATGGCTGATCCACGTCTGGAAGTAGCAGTAGCTTCACTTGAGCTCCAGTCCTCGGTCTGTACAGTCAACTGTTTTAGCAGCCCACATAACTCCTTTTAGCCCCCCAAAAAAATAGAAAGAAAAATCAAACTTTTACCTTGCAATTAAAGAAGTGGTAGTTTGGCAATTGCATCCAGTTGTTATGACATGGTTGTGGGATAGCATGGGGGCAGCGTTTAGAGCTAGCAAGTGTTTCTAACTACAGTATTCTTGAAGAGATCTAGACAAGCTGAATCAGTATGTCACTTACTAACGACATTATGGTCCTGGAAAAACAGAGTAAACAGTTTTATGTGTCCAGTTTCCTCTCTGTAATAAGTTGTCTTTAAACAATTAGAGGACAAATATTGGCAAGTGATCATAGTATTCCCCTTTAAGTAATGTACTATAACAGCATAACCGAAAGATATAGATTATTGCTATTGACAGTATCATGAAATGTATCATCACAGCATTGCTACATTTCACCCATAATGCTCACCAGGAGAATTAGGTTTTGAAGTGAAAAAGTTTATCAAGAGAAAGATAAACAAGCAACACAAAAACCTGTGCACGACTATATGTCTACGTGATGAGATATGACTATAATTTTAAAGCAAGCAAGGTAACTATATGCATTAAAATACCTGGAGGATTGACTGAGAGAGAAGAATGGAAATAGCAGTTTTTAACATTTTCCAGAGATCATTTCCACAACTTTTCCTTGTTGCAGGTTCCCATATATCACCAAGCGATATCCTTGATAAGGAAAGTGGCCTAGGCAAACAAAGCTTCTATTATTTAGTCTTTTTTTTCTAAGGAAACAAACCTTCTTTATTGATATCAAAAAAGCATAAAAAAGAAGAGTACATTGAAGAGATTGGATAAGGAATCCAACGAAAAGAAGACAAAAGAGACATAGAACAAATACCAAAAAAAAACATTGGACGCTTATAAATCACATGATTCTCTCCATCCCATTTAAATAGAAAAAAGTGGTATCCCATTAAACTCCTTCATAACCGAGGCCCAAAAGGACGATAAGAAGTGAATGCAATCCCATGACCCTTCCGAGCAATCTTCCCGATCCTCAAAGATTCTTGCATTACTTTCCTTCCATATGACCCAAAACATAGCCATTATAGCACAATTCCAAAGAGTCTCCTTTACCACCAAGGCCTTTCAAATCTTCCACAAACAAAGATGTGGATGAAGTCGAAATCACCCATTTCATTTCCACCAATCCGAAAAGCTTATACCACAAATTCAAAATGGGAAAATGTAAAAATAAATGATCAATGATTTCAAAATTACCTTTGCACATCACACACCATTGAGGGGAAAAACAATTGCTAGACCCTCCTTTCTGAAGCATATCAAAGGTATTAATATTACCATGTGCTATAATCTATGCAAAAACTTGCACTTTAAAGGCATCTTGGCCTTCCAAATGAACAAAGGAGTTAAGAAAGGACTAAAAAGATCATTGGATAAAGAATCAAAAAAGGATTTACGTGAGAACAATCTTGAAGAATCAAGTACCCCCCTTCTTTTGTCAAATGACTCTTGATCCAAAAAGGAGGCATTAAGAGACTCAAGCAATGATATCACATTCCTAGTATCTGTACCATCTGAATTCCTACAGAATCCAAAATTCAAAATTCCAAGAATACAGATGATTCAAAGGCCAGAGAATACATGCAATGGAAGCCCCATGAAAACAAGAAAAATTATAAAGACGTGGAAACAAACATGAAAAAGATGAATCTCCCACCTAATCATCCTCCCAAAAATGAACATGCTTTCCATTACCTATCACAAAACCTAAATTTTGGGAAAACCTCGTCAATCCCTAAGATATAAACTTCCATAGACATCTAAAACTTCTCCTTTTTGACCCTGTTGGAGTCTCATCCATTAGTATGTAATCTATATTTTCTATTGATAACTAAATGTCACAGAGAGTTTATTCCAATGGAAATCTCCAAAGCCACTTGCCAACAAGCACAATGTTTCTTGCCTTCAAATTACCAATAGAAATTACCCCCTTTGTCCTTAGATCTAGACATCACCGTCTAACTTATCACATGATCATTTTTTCCCTTTCCACTCGTTTCCCATCACTGTCAGATATGATACCACAATACGATACAAAAAAATTTCAAGTCCCTTTTGAATCAGCTTCAACTTAGTACAACTTAGCTGAATAACTGATTTGCATCCGATTTGAACCGAGTCATTCACCCAACTCCAATAGACTAGAAAACAACCAAAAAATAAAAAAAGGAAAAAGAGATGATAGAAAATGATAGTAGAGAACATGCCAAAAAATAGGAAATCAGATGACCCACAAGAAATAAACAAATCTGATATTTGCAAAATTAAAGCAAGATATGGCATACCTGTCAAGAATTGTAGCCTTGAGCTTGTAGAAACTAGAAAGTCCCTTTCTTCTTTTTCTTCTACTTCTTCTTGGCTGCAAAATGCATAAACCCTAGCATCGTCTCGTCAAAGTTCAAACCCCCAGGTCATTTACACCGAGCAGCAAAGTTACAACACCATCTATCCATCTTAATCTCGCGCTCTTCGTGACCAGCAAGCCCACAGTTTCTCTCTGTTTGCTCGTGTCTGTCGATTGAAGCGTAAGTCTCGTTTTGAGTAAATATTGAATGTAACGGGGATACCATGTTAGCAATGCTAACATAGTATCACTAACCAATAATAAAATACCAAGTGAGCAAGGTGAACTCCACTTGGGCAGTTATTTGCTTAAATAGAGGAAGAATGAGTAATTATTTGCTTACGTAGAAAAAATATTTATTATTAATTTTAGTGAGACCAGTTTCCTTATTTGTTTTAATATTATTAGTTGGTGATATCACGTCAGCATTGCCACGTGATATTACTATTGTAATGAATATTTTCTCGTTCTGGACATTGTATTTAACTTTCTTTTTTTTTTATTGTTTTTCCTTTTCTTTTTTTTCCCCAAGGACTCAACTCTCTTTCTCTCTCACACAGGTCTCAAGTCGAGACCCTAGAGTCAGTTTTAAGTTTTTTTTGGTCCAATTATTCTAATTTTTTATTTTCTGTTATTTATCACATAGTTCAATTAGAACTTAAGTATTAACATTTAACTTAACTTTCAAAAATTATTAATTAAATACTTAAATTGAACACTGATAACGATAATTATTTTCAAGAACGTCTTTATGTTTCATTTTAATTATGTTTAATGTATTGTGTGTATATATGATGCACGCATGATGATGTTTATATTTTTTTAGAATTTTTCAAATTTTTTCAAATTTTTTTAGAACTTCTATTTAGCATTTTGAGCGTATTGACAAATATCATACCGTGACACTGCGCCGGATGTGTATCAATGCCCTTCGAGTTGATGGTCGATACCACGAATTTGAACCATATTTCCCGTAGAAAATATCTCATCATCTTTTCAATTATTCTAACTATTGTCCCAGACATCTTAAACAAGTGCAAAAAGAATGTAGGAATGCTAGCTAGAACAAATTGCACAAGTGTCAACCTACCCCTTTTTGAAATGTAAACTCTCTTCCATCTATCTAATATTTTCCCCTTTTTTTCCATAACCGGATCCCAAAAAAGCAGACATTGAGTTCCCTGAAAGAGATAACCCTAAATACTTTAATGGCCACTACCCCACTCAATAACCCAAGAGTCTAGCTACTCTACTAATTTTATCTTAATGTGAATTAATACCTACAAGAATGCTTTTATCCAAAATGGTGTTCCAACCACATATTTTCAAACATAAAAGGAAAAGTACCCTACCTATAATTAGGTAAATCAAGGATAATAGGGCTATGATCCGTCACTACTCTAGACCAAATCTCCTCGTTCAGCCTCGAGAAACTCTCTTTCACCTTAGCCAAAAAAGAAAGCTATCAAATTTATTACAAACTAGATATTCTCTAAAATTTGACCAAATGAAGGTTCCATTACTCAAAGGAGGATCCTTTAACCTAGCTTCCCTAATAAAAGAATCAAAGTTTCTCGTACACCTTGCCACTCTTCTACAATTCAATTTTTCCAAAAGGTACCTAACAACATTAAAACCACCACCTAAATAACATGGAGGAGAACACAAACCTGCTAACTCATCTCAAAATCTATTACGCACCCTAGGGCAATTTGGACCATATACACTAGCTAACCACCACTCCCCCATCAGTAGACTTTATCTTAACAGAAATAGAGAATTCACCCTCTACCACCCCCTCTACAATAACAATCCTCTTATCCCATATAAACATAATACCATCTGACATTCTCCTATATCTAGAATCCCATAGACTCTAATCAATCTCCAGTCAATGTTTTCTATTTTACATTCTTGCAAAATAACCACATTCTGACCTACTTTTAGGAGCACCTCCTTAATTGAACTTTTCTTCTAACTAGATCCCAAGCTTCTCACATTCCAACTGATAATCTTCATCAGTGTTATTTAAGGCGTAAAGCGAACCGAAGCGACCAAGGCTCCTAACGCCTAGGTGAGAAGCGAAGCGAACAGTTAAAAAAAAATATATTTTAGTTAATTACTTCTAAACAATCTAAGTTTTAATTTTATATATACTAAATATTTAAATGCAAGTAAAATCATAAACATTTAAATTAAAATAAACACTAATGATGATCATGACTGGAGCAAAATCAATTGTTAACAATTTCATATGTACTGAATAATAAAATTAGAATAGGGACACATTCACATGTACTAAATAACATTTCATAACAATTGTAAACAATTTCATATTTCACATGTACTGAATGCATTAAATCTTGCGTTTTCATCTGTTTGTATAATTCTTTTAAATGTTTAATTCCATCAATATCAATATGAAAAAAAAAAAACCTTCCGTATTTCAATGTACATTCGACATCGATTGTTAAACTATAATCAATGCTTAAAAAGCTGTAATGACTTTTGTGTGGGATATTCATATGGACTGGATTGCAACACAAGGAATAAAAGGAATGTATTTTGTTCAAAGCATTGCTTATCAAAAAAAAAAAAAAAAAGACCAGCAATCGTTAGAAAAAAAAAAAAAAGTCATCAGTGCTTAAAAAATAAAAGAGGCTACTAATCGGAGCAAAATCAGAAAAAAAAAAAAAAAAAGAAAAGAAAAGCAAAGAGCAGAATCGATGAGGAAGGAGCAGAAAAGAGAAGAAAAAAAGAGAAATAGAAGAGAGAAGAAGAAGAGACTAACCTGTGATCGTCTCTGTCCACCTCTAGTCCAGCGATCGTGTAGCAGTGATGGTGTACCAGTGGTTGTGTAGCAGCGAAGCCCTGTTCCCTATATCCAGCGAAGCCCTTGTCCAGCGATGGTCCAGACTCCAGCGATGGTCCAGCGAATAATTCGGTGTATCAACGTCTTAAAATTTAATTTTTTAATTGCCCAATCAACGACCCATAATCAAAATAAAAAAAAATCGCCTGGAACCATTAAGGCGCTCCCTTTTTCGCTTTTTTTTTGTTTCAGCCACATTCGCTTCGCCTGGGGTCCTCTAGGCGAGATACCTTCACCTCGCTTCGCTTCTCGCCTAGGCGCTTTTCAAAACACTGATCTTCATAACACACTATCTTCACTCACACCATTCCTTTTAGACACAACAACATCATAATTTAGTCATTTGTCATCACTGAACTTATTTAACATCTAACATGGATCAGATCCTAAAAAGAGTAGGGCCATCCTGCAATTCTCTGACATGAAAACAATGAGTTCCCACTTGTCCAGTGGTTATTTCAAGCTGCTATAACTATTTACTCTGCATAAAAATTTAAATATATTTCCCTAACTTCATAGAGTAGCACAGACAAGACAATATTATACAGCGGAAAAGGGAGGGAGGGGGGCATCAATCAGCACCAACCTTAAATAAGGTTCAGAAGAACAAATATCCGAGTCAAGGTCAAATGTTTTTTCCGGCCTTGGGGAAATAAGTCCGATCCATGTAAGCAACTTCCTTAACAGCCTGCTACGGGGTCCAGCAGTTGAGAGGATTCCTTCATAACGTTTTACTGCCTTCTGAGCTGCCAGCCAAATAGGAAGGTCACTTTCCAATAAATGGTCAACTTCAATCATGCTTTCAGATATATGTTCATCATAATCATGCGAATTCTGGAGTAGAGGCAGTTCCTTGAGCCACATCACAATTTTATTTGCCCAAACTTGTGCATTTTCTACCTGACTACCACATTTGAAAGCCTGTCATAAAGTGAATAGAATATATATGTCAAATTTGATAATATTTGGCTTGAAATCGAGGAAAAATCCTCAATTCAAATGATAAATATAGTACTTGATCAAACCATAGGGCACTTGAACTAATAAATTCCATCGCATCTGAGGAGTAACTAGGAGGCATACAACTAACATTTCCCTTTCACAATTGGATCCAGAAAAACTGTCCCAGGATCAGATCAAACTGTTGGGCAAGAGATTATATGAATAAATGGACATTTTTCAGAATTCAATAAGCACATGAAAAAAAAAATGGTGGCTAGATCAAGTGCTCCAATTGAATAATAGGTCATGCTACACTGATATTAGGATCATCCCAAGTTGTAGGAGTATAATTGAAAAAAACAAGAGGACCTATGTGATGATCAAGCGGCAAAGCATAGTGCTATTAACCCAGTTTTTCCCTACGCAGATGAACAAATGAAGGTAGTCACTTTGTAAAAGTAATGGATGTAATAAAGAATAAGGACCATGCCAAGTCAAGATTGCTTAGGAGATGTATAAAATAAGCCTTTAGGAAAAAGGAAGTAATCCTCATTGCTTTCTCCCTGACAACAAACTTACCTTTCATATCTAGCATAGAGAAAAAGGCACTGCATCATCTGCATATACATTTTTCTTTAAAACCCAAATATAATCACACGAGTGCGAGCATTTAAAGTAGGCAGTCATAATTTCTAAATTAGTGTCTGGCCATCCAAGTCTGTAACAGCAACATAACCTTCCAGTCACTCCACCTGGTTTCTCTGGATATTGCTTTCTTTTGTGCAAATTTCCAAAAGTCAAAGGCCTTCCAAGATTTATTATTATTATTATTATTTTTTTGCGTGGGTGGGTGGGGCCTGGGGGGAGGAAACGAACAAGTACAATTACAATACTCAAAATTGGGAGAAAAAGGAGGACCAGCTGGACCACATGAATGCAATTATATATGACATATCACAATCACATATATCTTAGCTGTTTCTCACACCTACTATATATATGTATGCAATAATACTAAAACGACCAATATACCCTTTTGGGATATACTTATTACAATGATACCCAAACCCTAATTTATTCTAGCAATAAAAACCATCCGAAAGTGTAGTTGTGAAGAAATATAGAACCAACACTGACCAAGGTCATTGGAGTATCATTGATTGTACGCAGATGCAAATAAGAAAGAACCACTTGTCCTTCAATGTGTAACACCCGACTCAAATACCCAGGCAGTTTGAGATATTCTTGAAAGATCCGAATTGAAAGACCCCATGGAAGGAGAAACTGAGAACTAATGAGCAATCATAGGTCTTAAGAAAGTCAGTGTTTCCCTTGCCATAATTGCAATTAACCCAAATCTTGAGCTCAAAACTCCACGCCCCAATTTAAGAACCAACAAAATCCAAAGAAATCAAAGTACATAAGAGAAGACCAGCCCAAAGTAAAACAGTGAAAGATAAACCTGCAACAATAGCAAGCTAGAGGAAACCAGTAACGTGAAGGAAAAGGTCGCGATCAGCAGCAAGCCAGGAGAAGATTGTGACCAGAACAGTAGCCAAACGTCTTAGCTGGAAAGTACACAATAACAGGGGTCAAAGAACTCTTCATTCAAGCGACAGATTCAACTAGATTTTGCCTGCTTAGAATCCTTCAATTGAGCACACAAGACACCTAATCGGACCCTTTGGGTGTGATTTGCACCAACAAATTCAAAGAATAGGGGCTCAAAGTCCAAATTGATAGATTTTACCCAATTTTTTTCAAAAAACATTCGAAAAATCAAAAACCCTATCAACCATGCATGAAATAAAAAACGAACCATACCATGACAAAGCCTTTAGATAACCGATTAGAGTGATGACTGCAATGGTCGCTGGTTGATGACATCATGATGATGCCATCATTGTCAGTGATGATGTCAGCCCTAATTGAACCCATAATTTCCTTCCAATGAGCAATACTGAGTTCGTAAGCCAGTATAGGATTGAAGCACACTCTGATACCATGTAACATTAGATCACATAATTGAAAAAGAAGAGAAAAATTATTATTAAGGTTCCATAAGTATGCTTGTAACAATTTAATTAAGAGAATACACAATGGAGGCCCTATCTATAGTAGGGCAACACAAATAAACTAAACGATTAAACTACTCCTAATGCTAATGGTTAACCTTTGCTAATCACAATTTCAGTTTGTTATGTAAGCGATATCACTAAAAACTAACATATGAGACTGACTCAATATTAAAATCTAACAGTCAGCAAGCTGAGCAACTACCTCTGTTAGCCAGAGGCCAAATTTTCCCAGTGGTTTGGATATACTGAAGAAAATTCCTTGTAAAAGTTTTGACTGCAAGTAGTCCAGCTTTTCAACAATTAGTAAGCCCTTCTGCCTCTCCATAGCATAACCTCGCCTGTACCACACACGTGAACAGTAAATGACCTGCTAATGATATCAAATAAAGAACACCTGCAAAATGGTGAGTGTTACACAAAGAAAAAAAAAAGGAAAACATGAGGATGAAAAAGAAACTCCATATTAACAGTGCATATTAAGACATGAAAGATTAAATTTGTGAAGAATCATTAGGCCCCCCTCCCACCTGGAAAAATAAAAAATGAAAATCACTGCGCTACTGTATAGTACAATTACATCCTCTTAAAGTTGGTGGGAAACGTCAAAGTGCATCCTCCTAAAAGAAGATGACACGGACATCACAAGAGCATGAAATTCTTGATTAGCCATGCAATGCCTACGGGCATCGACCATAGAACCTTTCTATTTTTCTTTTTAAACGGATCCATAAAATTTGTGTGATCTCTCTCATTCCAACAGTCCATAACCCAAATGAGCCTGCATTTGTCTACATAAATGGATGAGCATTGTAGGATCTTTTGAGATAGTAACAAAAAGATCTAAATAAAAAGCTTTTAGACAACCTATTTGCAATCCTTTTCTGCTTGCTCATAGGTGAATCTATTCTTGTCACTAAGCCCTTAGAAATGTTGATCTTAAACCATAAAACCAAACAAAATACCTCAATAAGGTTTGCAATCCTTAAACACTACTGTAAATCAAGAAACAAAAAGAAAACAATGTGATCTGTAAGCTATAAATGAGAAAAACTAACTTCTTTTATCCCAATAGGGAAAACCTAAACTAAAACTCTGTTGCACTCTCCAGTAGCCTACTTGATCTATCGAGAAACAAAGTAAAAAAAAGGACCACAATGAATCCCCTTTACAAGGAGTGCAAATTTGTTTCAAAATTGTCGAAATGGTTGAAACGTTTCTATTTCTATGGAGATCGAAGGAATCGGTGATTGAATATCAAAATTCTTAAAATTCTGGGTGTTTCAAGGTGTTTCGTTGTGTTTCAATATATTTTGTTCAATATTTCGTTGTGTCTCCAAGTCCTTTAGACGCATTAAATAACCATCTCAGTCTATCACTAAACAATTGAAATATTCATAGAAGTTAAACACTGTTTAATCCATCTCCTTCATCTACAAAACCTTCAACCGTAAGAATAGAATATAAAAAACCCCAATCCACATGAAACATATGATTTTGCAAAATAATCTTAATAACAATCCCTTCCTTGCCTTTCACAACCTACTCCTCCACAACTTCGTTTGTTGCTTGTGCAATCTCTAGAATTTGTCTTCTATTCACAAATGCACCATGATATTTTGAAATCGAATCACCCTATGATGTTGGACAGGTGTGGGGTTGCTCTCTTTACCGAATATTATACAAGGTCTGACTATGCATTGAAAACAATTTGGGGCTGATTAAGCCAGTGCTTTGTGTCCAAAATGAGCAGAAGAACTATTGCACTTTATTGTCCGTAAAAATAGTAAGGATTAGGGTTTAGAATTGCAGTGAAAGATGAAATTTTTGGGTTGTTATTGGGGCTAGTGAACAATACCAAAAACAACACTTTTAGCCCTTTTGTGAAGTTTAAAATAAATATGATATTTTGGAGCAGTTTTGGATTGATGTAGGACGGGAAGGACTAGACATTAGAGAATAGAAAGAGAAGAAGAAAGAAGAAAGGGTGGAAGAGATTTACCTCATCTTCGCAAGAAATCGGTCAAGAAACACACAACATTCTCCACAGAGAAACACTTTTTATTATATCATTCTCTCTAATAAAAATAATTGGGACTACACCATTATTTATAGGTCAAGTTCCCTACTAAAATAAAAATTATTCTCCTACTAAAATTTTAAATTCATATACTACTTAAACTCTATAATAATTCCCTAATCAAACTCTCACTAATACTCCTACTCAAAAAATTACTCCTAAATTAAATAATAATAACACTAATTATAATAAACTACCAATTGCACTTCCCTTTAAACCAAAAATTCTTAATCTTTCACCTAGGGTTCCAAAGTCGATTGTATTGGTCCAACCAACCAATGGATGCGCTATCAATTTTCCTTCGCTAAAAAGAACTCAAACTCCGACGAGTAAGGACAAGGGCAAAGAATACCATCTGATAGAGAAACTCTTTGAATCAATAACGAACTTTTTTTTAATTGTAGTGTACGAGCATCAATAACACAAGTAAAAGTATACTTCTATCTTCCAATTGCAAAAGAATAAGTATTAGCACGCCTCGCATGATGTGCATCACGATTCCATATCCAAGTGCACCCTAAAAGTATATGACAAAGCTTGAGAGGCAACACATCACACATGATGTTCTCCCTAAGGCATCCAATGATGAATGTAACTAGACATCTCTTATCAACTTTTAGCTTGGTATTAGTAATCCATGCCACATGATATGGCTTCGGATGTGATTCAACTTTCAAATTCAATTTCTTCACAACGTCTTCTGATACCACATTTGTGCAACTTCCCGTGTCATTCACTAACAAGCATATCTGTTATTCACAACTAACTCTTGTCTAAAAGATTTTTCCTCGATAAATAAACTCACCATTAGCAACTTCTTTATTAGCAATAAGTAAAGGACGAATAACACCCACAAAATGATTATCATCAAAATCATTAAAATTAACCCCACCCAGATCAAGAAGTTCTACGATCTCTGATTTCAAATTCTGGCACATCAGAATCATTATGCACCTTGGAATTTTCCTTTTCAACCACATCAACAGATTTTGAAGGGCATTGAAAAGACATATGATCAAAACCATGACAATTAGAACACCTCGTCTTAGAATTAGTATCCCTGAAGAAGAATTAGCACTACCTTGAGATGGTTTGTTTGGAATAAAAGTATTCTCTAAGTGTTTATTGGTGGACTTACCTTGACTTGCATCTATGACAGTTTTCTTGATCTGAGTTGGAGGTGCCATAGAAGATCTCATATAAGATATCTTTTTCAGCTCATCTTCCATCTAATAGGCAATTTGAACGGCATCCGTCATGGTGTAAAGTCTACTTGCAGCTAAACCCATAGAAATTTGAGACTTAAATCCTTGCCTATACATGACAATCATCAAATCCTCAATCCATAGAAATTCTGATCGAGTGGCCAAGCTGTAAAAATCTCCATAGTATTCCTCGACATATATGCTTCCCTGATTTAATTGTGTGAATTATAGATGAGCTCATTGCTTATAATTAACAAGGCACAAAGTCGCGAGTCATAGCAGTTTTCATATCATTCCATGATCTATTAAAGTGAGTTTATTGGTACTTTTCCACCAAAGTCTTGCTATATCCTTCAATTTTGATTCTGTAAAGAATACCTTCCTCTTATCGGTCAAATGACACCATCTAAAGAAGCTTTCAACGCTATGTAACTAATCAAGGAGTATCTCGGGATTATTATCCCCATAAATATCTCTAACTTCTAGATTAACTCCTCTATCAATATCAAAGAATCTTGGCTCTTCTTGAACTTGAGCTCGTGGTGGAGGGGCTTGTACAAGTTCCTTTGGAGGATTGATGACTGACAATGATGGACTATTCTCAGCATTTTTCTCAACTCCTTTACCCTTCTTATCTAAGAGATAAACTTCCACGATCTCCTTTAGTGATGTTATGAACGCCTCTAGTGAACTCATTCTCTCATTCATGGTCTTTTGTGAATCAACTTTTGCTTAGGATAAAGCCTCAACTTTAGCATTTAATTTGGTGTTGGAAACCATATTGATTGGAAGAGAATTTTAAGAACTTTGTTTGAAAATTCTGAGGTCAATTTATAATTTTAGAAAATTCTAGGGTTAAACTTTAATTTCTGAAACTTTAGGGGCAAACTGTAATTTCAAAAAATTTTGGGGCCAAAGTGTAATTTCTAAAACTTGGGGGGTGAAAGTGTAATTTCAAAAACTCTAGGGTCAAATATATAATTTTAAAAAGGTTTGGGGTGTTTGTGCAATTTCAATAGTGTTAGGTCTGAATTTTTCAGTGGATTTTGGGTACTGGTTCAAAGATAAGGAAGTTTTTTTAAGGAAATTGGGTCAAATTATTTTGAATAATAGGTCAAGACAATATGGTTGAAACCCTATTCTATGTATTATAAGAACAGTAGTCTCATGTAAATCAGCAATAAAGGAGAAAACAGCATCAACTTATTTTTATGATGCTTTGGTGCTCAGTGATTGTTGTGATAAATCTGGCCAGTGATGTGGACGAGGACAGAGAAAGAAACTTGATGAAATTTCAAATTTTTTTTGACAACAAAGAGAAGCAATTGATGGACAGAGATTGAGCTCTGATACCAAATTGATTTAAAGGTTAAGTTTCCTATCAAAATAAGAACTATTTTCCTACTAAAATTCTAAAAGAGTTTTATAAATTATAATCAAACTCTTAAACTCCTATAATATTAAAACTCTACAACAATTCCCTAATCAAACTCTCACTAATACTTTTAGTCAAACAATTACTCCTAAATTAAATAATAATAACACTAATTCTAATAAACTACCAATTGCACTTTCTTTTGGACCAAAAATTCCTAATCTTTCGCCTAGACTTCCAAAGACAATTGTATTGATCTAACCAAACAATGGTTGTGCCATCATTGGTATTAGAGAAGAGTACCATAAACAGTCTAGACACGTTCAGAAAATTGATTTTCGCTTTAGGTCAGCAGTTGGGACGTCCAGATATGGTTGGGTATGTCCAACTTGACAAGTGTCCATCCAATATATCAGAAAACACCTCTGTTTTAATATTAGGACCTTTGTCTAGCCAACTTAATCGAACTTGATCAATTCGGAGGCTCATCCTTAATCGGTCAGAAGCATTTGCTCTACCATTAAATCTCGAAAATAGAACATAGTTTTGGATTTCATTCTATGCAAAGGTGCATAATTATATTTCATAAAAAGGAGGAGCAAAACAATGGAGATGGGCACTCGAACAAAAAAAAAAAAAAATCAAAAAGTAAATAAACGAAGGCAAAAGGACACCTGAATATAATTGCATTGGATGAAAATGCTCTCTTCCAGTCAACATATACTGGCAAGTTAAGTAGATAATCTGTATTTAGCGCAGAAGTCAACATCAAATCCCTAGCTGACAATTCTTCAAACTGAGCATTACAAAGAAGTTGCATGAAAGCTCGCTGGAAACTAGTGGCCACAGCAATTCTACGAACAATTTCACATTGTAAGTCAACTTAGCTAAAGATTTAAAGATAGAAATGAATAATGAGAATGAAGTCATTACAGATACTTAAACCCAACTGCTTTGCTACAGAAAGCTCTCTAGTCTATCAATGGAAAAAACGTTTCCCTTCTTAAGTTCTTATTGACTGGGTATTGCCCTCAATTGAAACAAAACACACACACCAATCAGTTGAAGGAAACTAATAGGAGAAAAGTTGCAAATGGTTTTCCAGAAGGAAAAAGTCTTCGATTCTGAAAGTTTTTTGGTTTAATTGGTTGAAGAAAGGTTGTAGACATTGGGGAATCAGAACAGTAGGACATTGGTTGTTTTTAAAAGTGACGCTTTGTATGGAATTGCAGATTATTAGTTGCTAGAAACTCTGAGCAGCAATTTTTTTTTTTCTAGGTCAAATGTTTTTTTGGATATGTGGAAATTCTGAGCAAATAGTAATAATACTAATAAGGGTGGTCTTATAGTTGAAGACCACGTGGACAAGGAAATGGTTTGGGTTAAATAGGGTAATGAAATGAGAATGCGACAAGAAAGAAATTGGGCAAAAATACAATTAGAACAAGTGGATCTAGTCATATAGATCTTACCGGAAATTCGGAATTCCTTAGGTTTTACCCCATACAGGTAGGATTGCATCATACCATTACTCAAAGCTTTAAAATCCTCTATTGGAGTTTCAAAAACTCAAACCTCCTTGTTAGAGAAATAAGTCCAAACTACAGATTTGAAGATGTTATAAGATTGCATAAAGTTTGTATACAGCTACAGCCGTAGATGAGTAATACATCAAGTTGAATGACTTTTGATTATCCCTTATAGCTCATAGTAGCTAACAAGAATTTTCAACTATTAAATGTTACACAATAAGCCAAAATGAACACATTAAAAATGCATAATCTTGTTGTGATTAGTTTTCCAATAGAAGGAACTGTAAATAAGACAAAAAAATTATGATTATCAAAATCCCGATCTGGATCCTAGGATCTTACAATCCAACAATCTGGATCTTATAGAATCGCAGGATCCTAATTACCGATCCAATTTATAGAGTTTGTTTGTTAGGTGCATTTAGTTATTAAGCAATCCAATTCCATATTTTTTGTTTTTATACTTAAGGACTCAATCCAAATGTGAATATCTAATATAATTGGGAGTCAATTGAAGAATTTCAATGGATGAAAAAAGTTACAGAAAATTTGTTTCGATTACAAAATCTCTTTGTTCGTTCGTCTTTGTTGTTAAAAAGTTGAAAATAATGTTTAGATTTAATATTCTCTCTCGGCGAGTGATCATAGTCAGATAGTTTTCCATTTTTATTCTTTTCTATTTTTTTGGATGTCGCATAGTCAATTTATTATCCAACAGTCTTTTAATTTTTCAATCTCTACTTTGTATCTCTTTCTTTAAAAGATATAATCAAAATACCTGGACAAAACCTTAAATAAAATATACTTACCAACAAAATAGTTGGTCTAGCTTTTCAAGAACAAATATGACATTCCCACGACAGATTGGAACATACCTGGACTCCTCACAAGAATTGCTCTTGACACTTTTGGAGGAAGAACCCAAGAGATATCTCAAGTCCAGGGCAGAATTGGAGGGTAACACTTGGTCAGGTTCAAGCTTATGTTCCCCATATTTTTCCATGCTAATTATCCCAACAGGATTATCAAAGATAGAGTCAGACTCCTTCTCGTTAGGTACACATTTTCTTACCAAACTAGTTAAACCCTCAGAAGTAGTTGACTTGTTTTGCATGGACTGGGTAAGATCATAATCAACTCGCATTTCCTCTAAAATACTTTTGTGTTCGGCATGAAGAATGGAATCCAAGCACCTACAATCACACAAGCAATACACTCAATGCAAAGCATGGATTCAAGTAAAAAAATGCAATTTGCAAATATCATCCATGGTATGGAGGCCCTAAAGGAAATGAAATCGTAAAGGTTGGAGAGTCCCCAACAGTTTTTTTGTACATTTTACATTTTTGACAACATAAAAGACAGAACCATAAAGGACATATTTACTCTCTTCATTTCTCTAATGTGTTTCTTCAGACCCTGTAACGACGGTACACTTGTGCACTGACCACCTTTTTTTATTTCGTTTGTGTGTCCAATTCAGTTTCTCATATATTTGGAGGGATGTTAAAACCCTCTCTTTTGGACTATGATCACTTCCGTTCTTCCCTGATTATGGAAATACACCCACAACTTTATAAAAGGAGAGGCCTGACCATGATGATGACATACAATTTCAAAACTGCAAAACAAACATACTTTTGTGAGTTCCAGAATATGGATCAGATCTTGCAAAGAATGCCTACGATAAACCTCAATACAAAATATTATGTATTGCAATTTTTTGGATTTACTACAGTTAACATTCCATACATGCCCCCATTGTATTGGTCGCTTTCATTGGGTGCTGTCAATCACAAGTGGACCTGTTTTTCGGCTTTCATCCCCATACCCAACTTCATAATTCAAAACCAGCAACTTTAATCAACGCAATTGCAGCAAACAACCACCTTCAAGACAAAGCCACTTTCAACACCTTTCCATCCACAAACCCTTCAATCTTTCCTCCCATTCTTTTAAAACCCCAAATCTGAAAGAACTCACAGAAATAACAGATGAAATTTACTAACCCAAAAAAACCGCATAAAATTGCAAGGACTGCTTTCAAATCCCACAAAAGACACAACTACATGTGGATTCAATAAGAGTGTCAAAGTTCCCTACACGAGCGAAATATATATTGTTCACACACATATATGCATAAATGCATCAAAGAGAACTAAACAAACCCAACGAAGTAACACGAACATGAACTTACGACGACAATAGAAGAAATTGATCGACCTCTTCTCGTGACTCAAACATCGAGACAATGGCATCCAAAAGCTCTGATTTGGAAACAGCGATGTATTTCTGTCTAGGCACTTGTATTCCAGAAATTCCTCCAGTCCATTTTTTCCCACCATCAGTATCCAAATTTCTGTCAAGTGCTTCTGCTGCAGGAGGAAGCTCGTCATTCTTCCTTGCCGATTGAGAACGCGATTCCAAAGGAGCAACCGGTACGTTCTGGAGTACGCGAAAGCAATAAGGAATTTTGGAGCTTGAGAGGCACCGATAAATAGAGTTATTTGAAGCCGGTGATGGTAATAGAGAAGACGAAGATAGAGCGCTAACACTGGTGAGAATTTGCGGAGATAAAAACATCTGAGCCAAAGGGGGGTGACCTATGACGATAATTTCAGAAAGGTTTTAATGAAGATAATGGAAACTGTCCGAGCGGTTTTCTTTGCAGCAATACCAATTTTTTTTTGGAAAACTTCATTTTACCCCCTCCTAGTTTACCCTGATAGCACATAACCCCCTGAGATCTGAAAATAGCACATAATCCCCTTGGACTAAAATGACCACTTAGCAATCAATGTTCCCACCATCTTCATCATCTCCGGCAGCTTAACCATTGCCAACTCTAACAGTCATCGTACACTCACAGCAGTCCACCAAAACAACCAAAACTCTAATCAGTCATTATAATTGATGATGCACAAAATAGATTTATGCACGATTAACAATCGAGTGTGTGATAATATGTCATTAATAAGACAATTAATAAAACAGTAAATGACAAAAAAGATAAATATCGAATCAACACACAAATATATAGTGGTTCGATCCGAGTGATCTACTCCACTTCAGAAAATGGTAACTGTGGTTGGAGAATCTTTATTAATAAATAAAGTAAGAGAGAGAAAGTTTTGGGAGAAGTGTGTTCTGAGAGAGGTACAATAGTTAAGAAAGAGAAAAGTTATGTGAGGGGTGTGTAGAGAGGTGTAGGGATGTTTCATATCATGTGGAGAGGATTTACAATTTATAGGCATTGAACCTTAGTGGAGGTGATGACGTGTGGGTAAAAGCACTAGTCATTCGGGAGGATAACTATAATAGGCAAGTGTAATTAAAGGTGGTCTTGATTTTCGAGAGTGGGTATCCTAATGATTACTCTCCACATGCTCTAATCTTCTTAAACCCCTTGGACCTTGGGCTGGGTCGAATTGACGAACTGGGCTTGACCTGCTTTGTGGCTGATTTGGGCTCCATTGATTAGTTGGGCCAGACCTAGTAGGAATTGGGCTCGTCATTTGCCCCAGTGCCCCAAGCCCCAATTGCTTGAGAGAGAAGGGTGTTGAGGGCATGAGTGAACCTCTGGATAGATAAAGGTTCCTAGTTACCCACGGTAGTCTTAAGCTTTCCATTTCTGCCTACAAAAATTCTTTCCCCATTTAGTATCGCGATTGCAGGGTACCCATTGCATTGACCATCATCCCATATGTTGGACCTCTATTGAAATTCTTTTTTTTTTTTTCTAATTCTTGCCTCCACTTTTAGGGCTTTACAGGACTCTTTCTTTTTTCACTCCATAAACCAACAAGGGATATTGAGAAAAAGAGAGAGGAAAATGATAGGGAAAATGTCGAAGGAAACATCCATACTGGTTGGATCCATTTTGGAGAATATGTGGATAACCCCATGAGCTTCTCGAAGGCGAGGCATGGAGGCACCGGTGCCCATGGCGATGCTATTGTGGTGATGGAGACTAGAACATCTTGGGAAAGGGATGACCCAACAGCGATGGGCGACAATAGAGTAGCTCAGCTAGTTAATCGACTTCGTTGGAGTGGAGGACGACACCAGAGTGCCCCTGGCAGTAGGCGACACTTTTGGTAGCCATAGAAGTGCTATAATGGTAGCATGCGACATCCTCGCATGGACCCAGCTGTTGGGCGACGCTAGCAAGGTGCTGGGTAGACAGCAGACGATGCCAAGCAGGCAGCAGACGACATCCTCACGTGGACTCAGATGCTGGGCGACGCCAGCAAGGCGCTGGGTAGGTAGTAGGCGACTCCAAGCAGGCGCTGGTGTTGGCTGGGCATAGGGCACAAGGTGTAGGGCATTGGGTAGGCAGCAGACGATGCCAGACAGACAGGCAGCAGACGCAGATGCCAGGCTCAGTTACTGGCGCTGGCGCTCTGTCCTGGCTTGGAGCATGAGGCAACGCCTTAGAGCAGAAGGTTGGTCTTGGCGACGCTATGGAGGCTTGGGCGATGCCATGGAGGCCTAGGCTATGCTAGAGGATGTATGTGGTCTGGGCGACGATTGGGGAGCTTGGCGGAGTATCAAAAAACCATGAAAAAATGGTAAAATTTTGAATGGTCATAACTTTGAGCTCGATTGTCCATTTAAGGCATTTTTTTTAATCTGGGTATTTTTTCAAGATCTACAACATACAAGCTGCCAAAGGCATTTTGGGCAGCAAATTTCTCAAAAAGAAAATGCTTCTATCTTTTTGAATTTGAGTTTTAAACACAAATTAGTGAAACCGACGGCAGTGTGAAGTTGCACTCTGGTTGGCAGTTGTCAGGCATTCATGGGCAGTGAGTTGGTGTTCAGGGTTTTGCCATAGAAGAAGACTGATGGTTTATGGCAAGGTAGGAGGCAAATCCACTTTCTCCAATCCTATTTTCTGCTTAACATTTTCTCCATGCTAGTTCTTTGTATTGATCTTGTCTCTAATTATAGGCACCCTGTTGACAGAGTGATGGTGGAGGCTTTCTATGTTTTAGGATGGCGTCTTCCATTCTTTCCAAGAAAACGAGGTTTGATGCTCCTAATACTTTTCAACTGACGCTCAATAGCCAAGTTACTTCTCGGAAGAGGGATCCGGTGGTGCCACGACTCCTTCCTAGATTGTGACTCGCATGTGTACTAGAGCTAGCCCTTGTACTGCTGTAGGAGTTAAGACTCTAGTGCGGTCTTCTACGGGGACTGTAGCTCTGCATAGTTGCCTTACTTCTAGTAGTGACTTTGTGTCCATGCTTCGACATGACTTTGGCCAAGGAGAGGATTTGGAGGTCTGTGACTCCTAGGGATATTAGAGAGGATAAATCTCGAGGTCCATAGGGCATTTATCAATACCATATTGGAGGGGCCTTCCATGGTATACCTTTCTACTCAACTTTGATTTTGTACCCGTCTATTTTCCTTCATGTTCTATTTTTTAAATGCTTGCATGTGGCTGCTACTTTTCCCTACCTTTTTCAAGGACTATCTAGCTTGGAGAGGCATTCAGACATCTGGTAACAAAGAGACAGACATGAGAGGTTGTTGAGTGCAATTGAGGTTAGCTCATGAGAGAGTAACACCTCTTGAGGCCGAGCTTCCTGACGACTTGTGAGGGAGGCACCAAGTTGAAGATTGAGGCTGCTTGAGAGCAGAGATAGAATTAGGTCGAGCTTTTTGGTGACTTGTGAGAGAGCGCAAAACTGAATACATAGAAATGCTTAGGAGCAAAGGTAGGATTACGCTGAGCTTCTTGGCGACTCGCGAGAGAGCGCAAAGTTGGATACATAGACTGTTTGGGAGCAGAGGTAGGATTAGACCGAGTTTCTTGCTGACTTGCTAGAGAACGCAAATCTGGATACATATAATGTTTGGGAGCAAAGGTAGGATTAGGCCGAGCTCTTGACGACTTGCGAGAAATCACAAAGTTGGATATATAGACTGCTTGAGAGTAGTGGTAGGATTAGGTTGAGCTTCTTGGCGACTCGCAAGAGAGTGCAAAACTAGATACATAAACTGTTTGGGAGTAAAGATAGGATTAGGCTGAGCTTTCTGGCAACTCGTGAGAGAGTGCAAAGTTAGAGATATAGACTACCTACGTGAGAGTAGATATAGAGTTATGCTGAGTTGGTGGCAACTTGTGAGAGAGACTCTAAGCTAAAGATATAGGCTGCCTGTTTGAGAGCAAAGATAAAATTAGGCCAAACTTGTGGTGACTCGTGAGAGAGAAGCTAAGCTAAAAATTTAGGTTGTCTGCATGAGATTAGAGGCAAAATTAGGCCGAGCTTGTGGTGACTCGTGAGAGATACGCTAAGCTGGAGATGTAAGTTGTCTGCTTGAGAGCGGAGATAGAATCAGGGCGAGCTTTTTGGCGACTAGCGAAAGAGCGCAAAGTTGGATATTAATAAGGTGACTGTTTGCATGAGAGCAGAGTCAGAGCAGCGAGCGTCTTGCGAGAGGGCCACCAGAGCTAAGGCTTATTCCATTGAGATGAAAATGAGGAAGGAGGCTGTTGAGAGGGCCATTACAAGTGCTTTTTATTGATGGTTATGAAGAGCTTGACAGATTTCCATGCTATTGATTTCTCTGGCTTTGTCCCATATCAGGCACCAGGGGTAAATGGTGATTGGGAGAGCCTTGATGATAGTGGCTTTGAGAACCATAACTAATTGTCAGGAGTATGGCGACTTTTGTCTTTTTGTCTATCTTGTTGTTAGGTCATGTTTTAACTTTTATAAGCTGTTTACAAACTTTATGAAATAAAAGCAAGATAGTTCTGACCACAATAATCTTTGCAGAGTTTTATTTCATAAAATAATAGAATAAATCAATTGAAATAATAAAGGATAGATAGAGATTCTCTTTGCCCTATTCCTCTTAGGGTTTAAGGTTTAAGATTTTAGGGTTTAGAGATTAGAGATTAGAGTTTAGGGTTTTAGAGTTTAGGGTTTAGGGTTTAAGGTGTGTTTGGGTAGTGGGTTAAGGTGGGTTAAGGGCCATAAGGATAGCTTAACAATGAAATGAGTCCCATATATCCTTTGTTTGGCAACCAAAAAATGTGGGAGGCATTGAATCCCTGGTCAAACCTTGACCCGGATGCTACAAGAGAATTTAAGCAGGGTAGATGGGTTAACTGTAACCCACCCCTCCCGTGGGTTATAATCCCACCCTCTAGGTTAGCAGGTAAAAAGACGGGCTTACCCCTCTCTCTTTGTTAGATATTTTGCTACACCTTGCTGAACGAAGGATCCTTCTCACTTCGTCTAAGCAGCTCAGTTCCATGCAGGTTACAGGCGATCATCGACTGCAATCGAGGTAAGCTTCTTCTCATCGAATCTCTGCATATCTACCTCTCTTTACTCTCTCTCAGTCTCTCACTCACTTCGTCTCTCTCTCTCAATCTCTCACTCAGAATTGATTTTCTTGCGACTGCTGGACCTGCTGATCTGCGCCTTTCTCCACCTTCTAGACATTGTTCCAGGTAAGGTTTGATCTCTACTCCCTCTCCCCCTCGCTATAACCTATAGCCGGCGTGCGGACAAAGGTTTCTTCGTTTTTTTTTTTTTCACTTGCTGTAAAATATGTCTTCTTGTTTCAATCTTCTACTTTTGAGTTCAGATCCTACGGTATGTTTCCTTTAAGCTTCTCTCTATCTCTCTCTCTGTTGCAAACGCGAACAGATCTGGTTTGCAGAGGTACACCCAGATCTGGCTTCGTTCATCTTTAGCCGAAGCTATAAAAATGACTCCATGAAATGCTTTGATTCCACAACCTTAATTGAACAGATCTGTTCTTTAGGCTCGTACCTCTCTATCCTAGAGTTCTAAGAAGACAGAAAACTAAGTCTGGTTCATGAATCTGGACTATGTGGTCAGATTTTCTTGTGGCTTTTGATGACCTTTTTGATATAGGTGGTTAGGTTTGATAAGTAATCAGTGGTTGGTTAATTGAGTACTGAGCAAGAATGCATGGCTTTATTCCCAGGAATTGATTTAATGGCTTTAATTCCATTGAAGGAATGTTGTACTACATCAGTGGGTTGGAGGTTTTTGTTCCCAGGAATTGATTTAATGGCTTTATTTCCATTGAAGGATTAAAGCCAACTTTTGGGGGTATTTCTTAAGTATCAGCTAATAGGTGTTTTGCTCATGTAGCAAACTTCTCTGATTCTGTCTGAGGTGGATAGCTTGAGGTGAGGTTTTGTTTTTGATAGGATGTTGTAGCATGACTGGGAGGGTGTTGGCTAGTACTGGGAAGGTATTCTCTCTGCATTGGACTGTATTGGTGTGTCCTACATTGCACTGATGATTCTGCAGAACTGCACTAAACTGAAGACTGGTGTGCAACTGGAGGGTCATTTGTTGGGATGCTGCTGTGCTGAATATGAGTATTTTGTTCAGACAGAGCAGGATTTGCTGAGAATAGTTTCCCAAGCAAAGGTTATGTGAGGACAAAAATTTGCTACTTCAGTGGTTTTTACTGCTGTTCTAGTTTATGTTTTGGGGTGGAAGTAGGCTCATGAGCTGAACTGTGAGCAAAGGAGCAGCTGTGGTGTGAGAGGTATATTTAGCAGGTGGGAGTATCAGGTCCAATTTGGTTCATGCAAGTAGTCTGGCGAGTTGATCTGAATAGATATGAGACTGTCTCTTGCAGGATGCCTGCTTGACTGTGCTGGAGCTAGTTCTGTGCAGCTGTATGGATCAGAAGGTGCTATTGGATCAGAGGACTACAGGAGCTGCTATAGTCATTGTACATGAATTTTCTGTTTATAACAGTTTTGATTCTTGTATAAACAGTGTTTACTGTTTTTTCTATTCAAACAGGAGCTGTTCCTTCTTAGAACAATATCTGTTTTTGATTGTTGTAATTTTGGTTTTCAATCATTAAATTCCTATTTTTCTTTAAAAAAAAAAATATCATACCCAGGTGCTAATACCCACATTGGGTCGACAATAAGAATATCTATAAAGATCCCATTTTTGGAAACTGAATTGTTTACCTGGCTGGACACCAAACCCAAGCAACAGCTCACAATAATCATCATCAGTTGGGACCAGACAGAGAGTCTTTAGTCAGATAATCAACTTTGAGCCAAATGTGGAGTTACAGCTTTGTGTATATAGTTTTATGAGATCAGAAATCTTGGAGTGGACACTTATTTGGTTTTTGATTTATCCCAAGTAGAATGTTATAGCATTTGTGGCTTTTTATTGGTTATTATTAGGTTCACGCATAGGTTTGGCATGGTCAAATTCTTGAAGGCATGATCCTCATCAGTTTTTCTTGAAAAATATGGCAGTGGAATTTCCTAACTCAAGTTCCCATGTTTTGAAAGAACCTAATTGAACCAATTTTTGTTTGTGGGAGTTTTCAAGAAATTGAAATATCAAAAAGCCAAGACTGAAATGCAGCAAGTCACAAACATCAGTTTCTTTACCATTATGGTAGCTCTGAGGAAACATTTTGATGAATTAAGTACCAATAGTGTAAACCAGTGATTAGTGTTGGTCACCTTATTCAGTGGTTTTCTCAAAGCTCCACTACACCCCAAGTCCAACTGCACTAATTTATCATGTTTATGTTTTCCTTTCATAGAAATGTATGTATATGAGTGTGTCCACATTGCACCTTCCCAGGAAGTTTTAACATTTTATAGCACGCCAAATGGAAAGTGTTGTGTTTTTTGGAATGCGTCTATGCTTTGTTTTGACATGTTACAGTAGTGTCAAATTATTGTATTTTGGAATGCCCCTTCCATTGGTTGCATGCCCCTTTTTTTTATAACTTCCTTCATTTGGTGGGGAGCATTTCCAAAGGCCAAGAAATGAGTACTGCTTGTCTTGGTGTAGAAATTGATGACCTTGAACTGGACGATGAAAATATGGAATTGGTGAATTGGACTGAAATTGATGACTCTATTTTTTGTAAATAAATAAATATTTTTCTTGTTTAAAAAAAAGATTTTTTTGGAAAAAAATACCAATATATATATATAACTTTCCTTATTTTTATATGTTTTTATGTATATGTGAAAAATGTATAATTTTATTAGGCTTGGATGGGTTAACCAAACATAGGATAGGATTGGAATGAATAAAGTCATAGGTAGAATAGTAAACTACTACAAAATTATTTGTGTAATCTATAGGGCCCACTGAATTATACATTTGTTTCCTAAACAAAGGTTAATATTGGATATAATTTTGGGTTAGGGTTTTAAAGTGGATGAATGTGTTTAACTTAGATGGGTTAGGATATAAAAAAAGAAATCCTATCCTATCCTACCCCATTACCCAAACACATCCTTGGGGTTTAGGATTTAAGACTTAGGGTTTTAGGGCTGAGCGAGGGTGGATAATTTTATGTTTCTAGAGAGAGAAGCTCTCACTTCCCTCTGCCTTTTTTCCTGACTTTTGCGTTCTTGCTTTTATTGCTGTCTGATCTGCTCATTTATTATGGATTCATCCCAGATATTTAATAAAATTCCACCAAAGCCACCTGATGATCCTCAGATTCCCATAATAATCCCAAAGATTTCGTAGAAATCTAGTAACCCAAAAAAGTCAGTTTTGTTTACCGATTTAGGTCAGCATGGTACAAAAGATTCAGGATCAAAACAGGACAGCGAACAAACCCCTGGTATACCCCCTGTAAACCTGAGTATTCAGCCTACATCATTCATTAGAAAAAACTTTGCTTCACTCTTCAAAAAACCCGCTGCTGTTCCAATTCCTTCGGTGCCATCTTCTTCTTCAAATCCTTCAGGGCACACGGAATATCATCATTCCTTTTCTCCATATCCTTCGGCGGCCAAGGAGAATCCCATATCTTTTTCTTCAATTCCTCAGGTGCCCACGGTAAATCAACCGTCTTCTTCGGCACCCAAGGTTATTTTTCACTTGATTGAGGGACACTCTTCCCTGATCCCTTCTACTCTAGTCCCTTCGGTTTTTCTTAATCAGCCAGCTAAAAGAGTGGTCTTCAACAACGGAGAGCCCGAAATGTACTGGACAGAGGCTGAGACACTAGAACTTAAGAAGGGTTTTTAGCAAACCCTTATTGGGAAGTGCACCTATGGTAAACCATCGATTGGAGTTATTAGGGAGTTTATCAATACAAGATGGCTTCCTAAAGGTAATTTCTCAGTGGGGATCTTGGACCCTAGACATGTATTGATCAAATTTGACCTCTATGAGGATTATGTCAAGATGTGGTTGAAAGATGCCACTTACATAGAGGGCTTTCTCTTTCATTTTTTCAAGTGGTTCCCGGGTTTAGGGTTTAGGGTTTAGGGTTTAGGGGTTTAGGGTTTTAGGATTTTAGGGTTTAGGGTTTAGGGTTTTAGGGTTTTAGGGTTTAGGGTTTTAGGGTTTAGGGTTTAGGGTTTAGCTTAAATGGACAAAGATATGGTTATTTTGCCAACTCAAGAGGGCTAAGACAAGGAGACCCTCTCTCTCTTACCTTGTTCATTTTGGCTGAAGAGGTGATGAGTAGAGGCCTGAGGAACATTTACAATGAGAATCTGGTTAAACATTTTGACATTGGGAGAGGAACAACAATTGTTAGTCACTTGTTATTTGCTGATGATACTTTGATATTTCTAAGGGGCAACAAAAGTTCTGTTTTGAATGTACTGAAGTTTATTGAGCTGTATGAGTAAGCTCTGGTCAGAGGGTTAACAAGTTGAAACGTGCTGTGTATTGTTTTAAGCTGATTTCTTGTCCAGAAGGAATAATTTGGCTGCTATGATGGGAATTCTTTTTAAGGATTGTCCTTTTACTTATTTGGGATGTCCCATTATCAGAGGAAGGGTAAATAAATGGTTTTTTGAAGGAGTGGTGGAAAGTTTTAGGAAAAGAATTGAGGGTTGGTATGCAAGATTGTTATCTGGTATGGGGAGGATTGTATTGATACAATCAGTCCTTAGTTCAATTCCTATTCATATGTTGGCTTGTTTAAATATTTCAAAAGGTATTCTAAGTAAGCTGAATTCAATGATTGCTGACTTTATTTGGTCCAGTCAGATGGATTCTAAGAGAAGGCATTGGGTCTCATTGAAGGATATTTCAAAACCCAGATTAGAAGGTGGTTTGGGGATTAGAAGTTTTGATGAAGTTCAAACAGCATTTAGAATCAAACAGGTATGTGGGATATTAGATGGATCTTCTTTGTGGGCCAAAGTATTTAAAGAGAAGTTTTTTCAGGGGAAGCACATGCTGAGATGTGGAAACACTGGAACTGGTCAGTCCTTCAAAATATTGAGGCCTTGGTTCAATTTCACCATTTAGAATTCATTAAAGATTGTTGGAAATGGCCAGTGTACTGATTTTTGGTGTGACTCATGGATGGATAGTGGTCCTTTGATTCTGAGAACTAGGGTCCCTCCCTTGTTTTTTCCCAGAATTAATGAGGTATGGAATGGAATGGAGGCTGGATGAAGTAGCTGAATGACTTAACCCTCAGATTTGTTCTGAGATTAAGAGTGTGACCTTCATAAGATCTGAGACTTCAGATAAACTTGTCTGGAGGCATACAAATTCAGGCTGCTTTACTGTTAAGTCTGCCTGGAATAAAATTAGGGAAAAGGGGATCCAAAATGAAATAGCTAAATGTATTTGGAAGCAAAAAATTTTCCCTAGTGCTCAGTTGTGCACATGGAAAATTTTTAGAAAGGCCTTGACTACTGATGATAGAATACAAGGAGTGGGTGTAGCTATGGCTAGTAAGTGTGTAATGTGTGGTATGGCTGGGGAAAATGTTTCTCATCTATTCATTAACTGTACTGTGGCTCGAGCTGTTTGGGAGAAAGTTGCTGTGAATCTAGGGTTTGATATTTTGATAGGAGAAGCACCTCTATGTAGACTATTGAGATTGATGAGAAGGTTTAAAGCTCCTTCTCTCAGTCATAGTTTGACAAGAGGAGTATCTATGTTGATTTTTTGGACCCTGTGAAAGGAGAGATGTAGGAGGAAGTATGATGGGGTGAATTTGACTGCTCATGCTATTTTCTTACAAATTGTGAGTGCTTTGAGATGGCAGACATTTCTCATAAGGCCTGGATCTGAGGATGATTGTAAGGGAAGGGTATTCTTGACAGAGTTGAAAATTAAAAATCCTTTTACCTTAATCACAAAGGTTAAATGGATTAAATGGGGATTTCCTCCTGCAAATGTATTGAAATTTAATGTTGATGGTGCCTCTAAAAGCAAGACTGGACTGTCAGGTGGTGGTATTGTGGTGAGGAATCATGAAGGGGAGGTTATCTTAGCTGCTGCTCTCTTTTATGGATTGGATTCAAATATGCTAGCTGAGTGCAAGGCAATGTTTGATGGATTATTGATGATGATACAGAATGGCTTGTTAGCAGTTCAAATCATTGTGGAATCTGACTCTCTCACTCTTGTTCAAATGGTGAATGGATTAGCTGCAGTCCCATGGAAATTGCAATATTTACTGGAGAGAATTAAATTTTTGATTGGAATGTTGAATTTACAAATTCATCACATCTATAGGGAAACTAATGGCCTTGCTGATTTTTTAGCTTCCTTTGCTGTCCATAACAGAAGAGTTACTGAATTCTCTGATGGTATTGGTTTACCTAAAGCTGGAAGGATTATTCTGCAGCAAGATCAGAGTGGATTACCTACTGTTAGATTGAAAAGAATGGTTTATGAGCAAAGACAGGGTATTGGCTGACTGCTGATCAGAGCAATGTCTCTGCTCTGCTACTGCTGTTCTACTAGCATTTAAAGCAAGCTGCTTCATTGATTCCTCTTAGCCGGATGCAGGAGATTCAGCTAACCAGTGGTAGTACACAGGAAAGAAGTTTTGAGCTGAGGAAGAGAATTATGCATGCTTCTTGAGTGTTTCAGCAGTGTGATCTGAGGCAGCTGGAAGGAAGACATAGTAATCAGCTGAAGCAGTGGGGTTCAGCTGGTTAGTTACTGCCTTGATTTGGGAAGAGGTTTCAGCAGGAATGAAGAGAAAGCTGTACAGAGGGGATACATATAGTTTTACTTTTTTACCCTTGTATAGTTTTTTTTGACAAATGTTTCCACAATCATTGTTTTAATCTAAAAACAGTGACTGATTTGCTTCTTGTAATTTTGCATTCAATAAATAAAATTTCCATTTCACCAAAAAAAAAAAAAAAAGGGTTTAGGGTTTAGGGTTTAGAGAGGGGCAGCCTTTTTGTTTCTAGTAAGAGAGGCTCTCACTTCTCTCTACCTTTACTCTTTGGTTTTGTCTTTTGCATTTATTTTGGTTTGATCTGGTCCTTTATTATGGATTCCTCCCAACGTTTGACTATAATTCCACCAAAACCTCCCGATCTTCCTCAGATTCCCATCACACTCCCACCCTTTTCTTCTTGACAAATGTTTCCACAGTCATTGTTTTAATCTAAAAACAGTGACTGATTTGCTTCTTGTAATTTTGCATTCAATAAATAAAATTTCCATTTCACCAAAAAAAAAAAAAAAAAAAAAAAGGGCTTAGGGTTTAGGGTTTAGAGAGGGGCAGCCTTTTTGTTTCTAGTAAGAGAGGCTCTCACTTCTCTCTACCTTTACTCTTTGGTTTTGTCTTTTGCATTTATTTCGGTTTGATCTGGTCCTTTATTATGGATTCCTCCCAATGTTTGACTATAATTCCACCAAAACCTCCCGATCTTCCTCAGATTCCCATCACACTCCCACCCTTTTCTTCTACCCTACCGCCCAAACCGCCTGACATCACAAAAAACTTCGCTTCTTTATTCAAGCGTCCCTTGATCTCAAATAACCCCATCATCAGCAACTCTGGTTCAGTGACGTTCCAGAGTCCGATCGTCGACCCCCTGGGCTGTAGCATTTCCACCCATATGCCTCCCAATCATCCTCTTCTTCATGTTCAATCGAATGCAACCTCAACTGCACCGTATCTTCGTTCTTCGACTGCGAACACCTCTGCGAATTTCCAATTCCCTTTGCCAGCATCTAGTATTCAGGTCTCTGATGCCCCAGCTACCATGTCATCTCTTCATACCCAGTTGCCAGAGAAAGGGACCCCGTTTACGGCAAACGCCTCATCTTCCCAGCTAGAACAAGGTATTTTGACTCCTTCTACTAGCATCCCGCCTGGTCCTTTTATCTCTGCATCCTTTTCCAAGCCTGCAAAAAGGGTGGTTTTCAACAACAGAGAACCAGGTATGTACTGGTCCCCAGATGAAACTCAGGAACTCTCTAGGGGCTTTAACTTGACCTTGATAGGAAAGTATGCCTATGGGAAATCGTCACTAGGAGTTGTGAAGGAGTTTATCAACTCTCGGTGGCTGTTGAAAGGGGAATTTACGGTAGGGGGCTAGACCCAAGGCATATTCTCATTAGATTCTCCAAGTACGAAGATTATGTCAAAGTATGGCTCAAGGATACCACGTATATTGAAGGTTTTTTATTTAGATTCTTTAAATGGTTTCCAGAATTTTACCCTGGAATTGAACCTCCACTCGTCCCTGTTTGGGTATCATTACTGGGCTTGCCTATCCATCTCTTCAATATAGACAGCTTGAGGGACATCTTAAGCCCCATTGGTAGGATTTTGGTGATTGATAACACCACTTCGAATATCTCTAGGCCTGGAATTGCTCGGGCTTGCGTGGAAATGAACCTTCAGGGTAGTAATCCTAGGAGATTTTGGCTCGATATGGGAGGCGCGAGTGCTAGGTGGCAAAAGATCGTTTATGAGAAGGAGTTTAAATACGCGCTACTTGTTTGAAGCAGGTCATAATGATTCTTTATGTCGGAGAAAGAAATAGGAAGTGGGGATTGCTACTATTGAGCAGAATTCTGATAAAGGTAAAGTCTGGAGCCAGGATGATGGGTGGTTTAGGGTTTAGGGTTTTAGGGTTTAGGGTTTAGGGTTTAGGGTTTAGGGTTAAGGGTTTAGGGTTTTAGGGTTTAGGGATTAGGGTTTAGGGTTTAGGGTTTAGGGCTTAGGGCTTAGGGCTTAGGGCTTAGGGCTTAGGGCTTAGGGCTTAGGGGCTTAGGGGCTTAGGGTTTAGGGTTTAGGGTTTAGGGTTTTAGGGTTGAGGGTTTTAGGGTTGAGGGTTTAGGGTTGAGGGTTTAGGGTTGAGGGTTGAGGGTTGAGGGTTTAGGGTTTAGGGTTGAGGGTTTAGGGTTTAGGGTTGAGGGTTTAGGGTTTAGGGTTTAGGGTTTAGGGTTTAGGGTTTAGGGTTTAGGGTTTAGGGTTTAGGGTTTAGGGTTTAGGGTTTAGGGTTTAGGGTTTAGGGTTTAGGGTTTAGGGTTTAGGGTTTAGGGTTTAGGGTTTAGGGTTTAGGGTTTAGGGTTTGGGGTTTAGGGTTTAGGGTTTAGGGTTTAGGGTTTAGGGTTTAGGGTTTAGGGTTTTAGGGTTTAGGGTTTAGGGTTTAGGGTTTAGGGTTTAGGGTTTAGGGTTTAGGAGGGAGGCAGCATTCAATTCTAGAGAGAGAAGCTCTCACTTCTCTCTAAAAAATTTCCATTGATTTTTTGATTTGATTTCACTTTCTTGATTCTTGTGTCAGATCCAGATTTTTTTGATCATTCTTTGACTTTTCTACATGGAATCGGGTACAATCCAGCATGCAATTCCCCCAAAACCCCCGGATATTAAAAAAAATTTTGCTTCTCTTTTCAAGAAACCCTCGGTTATCGCGAACGTTGGGAATGCAGACTCTTCTTGTTCTGATCAAAATCCTGGACTGGACCTTTCGTCTTCAGCAGTTTGTGTGGGTACCCAATCTTCTATGCCTCTGACTTTACCTTTGGTATCTCAATCGATTCTTTTTCCCCAAATTTCTCAAGAACCCGGTGTTTCTCACAGATCCTCAAACCATCCAATTTCTCGATCTTCTTCTTTTCCTCAAATTAACTTTTTCGGCCAAGATTCATCAGGGATTCAGCGTCCTCTATCGATTCAGAGTTCTCTGGTTCCTCAAACTTCTTTAGATTCTCATCTACCTGTTCCACGACAGTCTTCGATCGCGAATGTTCCTTTGGTGGATTCTGGTAACTCATCTCTGGGAAATGGTTTGTTAACTTCGACTGGGATTCCCAAACCAGCGAAGAGGGTTGTTTACAACAATGGTGAACCTGGAATGTATTGGACCTCTGAAGAAACATTAGAGTTGTCGAAGGGTTTCAGTCAAACTCTAATAGGGAAATGCGCATATGGTAAGCCTTCACTGGGAGTTATTCGAGAGTTTATTGCTACAAAGTGGCTTCCCAAAGGTGATTTCTCGATAGGTATTTTAGATCCTAGACACATTCTTATTCGTTTTAGTCTTCTGGAGGATTATGTGAAGACATGGCTGAAAGATGCTACATATATAGAAGGTTTTTTGTTCAGATTTTTTAAATGGTTCCCGGAATTTCTTCCAGGAATTGAACCTCCAATTGTTCCAATGTGGATATCGTTGCCTGGGCTTCCTGTTCATCTCTTTAATAGAGAGAGTCTTCGAGATATTTTGAGTCCAATTGGGAAAATATTGGTGTTTGATAATTCAACTTTGCAGCTGACTAGGCCAGGAGTGGCGAGGGTGTGTGTGGAAGTTAACTTGTTGCAGTCTAATCCTAGAAGATTCTGGCTTGACATGGGGGGGAATAGTGGTAGATGGCAAAAAATAGTATATGAGAAGGATTTTAGGTATTGTGCTGCTTGTCTGAAACAGGGGCATGATGGAAATACTTGTAGGAAAAAGAGGATTGTAAAAGGGGATGATGAGAAAGGGAATGGGCAGAATGTTGAGGTAAACCAGCAGAAAGAGATCAATATTCAAAGTGGAGTGGACCATGTTGTGATAAATGTTGCTGATAAAGGGAAAGGAATTGCACAGACTATGCCAGGAGGAAATCAGAAACAAGCTTTTAAAAGAAAAGAAGTTGTTCATAAGCCAGAGACTGGAAATAGATTCAGTGCTCTGGCTTTTGAGGAACAGAGTAATATTGTGGAAAGTGGAGACAATTTGATTGAGCCAGCTGCACAAATTGGGGGAAAAAGTTGTTTGCATGAAGTAGAGGAGGAAATCTTAAATGTTTCAGGTAGAGAAAATGTGGAAGTTGAAGGGGTGGATAAAGTAAATGATTTGATTACAGAAATGAATGTTCCTATTGAAGTTGATCAGGGTTCTGAAATGCAGATGAGAATGTCAAAATCAGGGGAAGTTGCTGAAAATGTTCCTTTAATTGTGAGGGGGGTGCAAGACTCTAAATCTTGTGAGGAGATTAGAGAACCAGAGTTACCTGAAAGTCAAGGGGTAGAAGGAGAGGCATCAGTTACGTTAATGGAGAAGGGGAGTAGGGATAATTGTGTAGTGCTAGTTGAACGAGAAGTTTCTTTTCATGTAAATGACAAGTCTTCTTTTTTTACTGGGAATGAGGGAGGAAAAAGTGGAAAGATGAGAGAAAAGGAGAAAGGGGAGGGAATAGATGATACTGTGTGTTGTTTAAACAGGCAAGCATCTCTTTCTTCAGATTCTTCTTTTTTTGTGGATAGACATTATGATGTTAGACAATTATTGCAAGTGTCTCAGGATGATAATGCTGGTTTGGTGAAGGAAAATGAGCTACTTGAAAAAGGTTTCTTATCTGATCAAGATAGTTCGAAGACTTGGGCGGATTTATCGGAAAGATTTTCTGATGATGAAGAGGTTCATGGTTTGGAAATAAGGCAGAGTCCTGAGGTTA